TATATATATATATATATAACGAAAAGAATATCCTAAAATGTATTGAATTCATTTGGGACAACTGAATTATCTATAAAAGTAAATTATTTGGGCACGAAAAATCTGTATCTATTAATCCGTATTTTAACCTTATATAATACAGATTGTGGTTCGCAGCAGAAATAAGCGACTGCATTTCAATGAAGATCTTTTTTTTTAACAAGGCATGCATACTTACGGCCTCTATACATTTAGAAACAAGTAAATGATTGCATCGAACTTTGACAGAGGTGTATTCTCTACGACGGAACTAGGACCGGCGTCGACTTACTATACGACAAAATTGTCAGCGTATCATTGCAACCTCCGGTAAACCTAGCATTGTTGATTGATCCGCAACAAAGCTTGCAATGGATTTATGTAAAGAATAGAGAAAAACTGATGCTTATTTTCTTTTATCAAACTTCGCAGTAAGCGGGACCAATGCGTATACACCAACACCAATAATCGAGTGTAATCCGTTTAGAAATAACCAATATTAGGGATACGAGTGTTATGGTACAAGGGCTAACATTCCAGAGTAGTGCGTTAGAGGAAAATCGCTAATTATTAAATATAAAAGTTGTTGTTCCTAAGCGCTACATTATAAATATTTATATGTATTATTTCTATAAACATTCAATAGGACTATTCTGTGCCGTTATTTCTTGACATGGCCGACAATTTTTACCGTTTCTGACGGCGTGAGGCACTTCGAACAAAACCTTTTACTAATTACAAAATCTCTGATTACGTCATGATGTGCTGCACGCAGGGATTTGCACAGTATGCTGTCTTGCCGTGACGATATTCGCATTTACGACGACAATTGACTTCACGAAGTTCGGCATTTACCTATTCATAGCATTCATATGCTTCACTGTCTCCCTCTTTATACTCCTGTTTGTCTGGGCGCCATTGGCGCATAAGGTAAGGTAATACAATTCAAATCAGAACTTTATCTAAACCCCAAGGCCGCATCAGTTTGACGAACATAAACTAAACCAAGAACGACGAAAGTTCTATGCAATATAACTAACATACAACGACACGTGTCGCCGTCAAGCTGCTGCTGTCGATGATTATAAGTAACTCTGAACGGGACATTTCGCGGTATTCCACGCAACGGGTATGGGGTGGTAAGAAGCTCTTAAAAGATGCGTTTCGACCAGTCAAAAAATTTATTAGGTGATCATACTATGATCATTTTTAAGGGCATATCTTGAACCTGGCGACGACAGTTGTTTGATTCGTGTTGGATACGTACATTGATTTGTGCGTCAGAAAACAAACTTGAAGGATACGAGAACAGTTTGTTACCATATATGAACGGCGCAGCTTTTGACGTTACGTGTTTTTCACGCGTTAGTTCGCACATGACTATTTAACTCCTTCATTTTTCTAGCAGTAATAAGAACTTCGAAAATCTTGCATGGCTGAATTAGCATTGATATAGTTTTCATATTACTCATATATGAAGCATCCTTTAATGGTTTATTTATAGATATTCTCCGGCATTGCTGCCCTTCTGTTTATGGTGTACCTTATATACGACACTCAATGGCTCATGGGAGGGAAAAGCTATGAGATCTCGCCGGATGACTACGTGACTGCCGCCTTGAACCTATACTTAGACATGATATACATATTTATCTTCGTGCTAGGCCTTGTGGGAAACAGGAGATAAACAAACACACAAGTGCTTCAGCGAACGGATAGCACAAGGATTGTGTGCGTGCAGTCTTTCACAAGTGTCGACAAGAAGCGGTTCATACGTATGTTTTCCAATTAAAGAACGTGTCAGTCAAGTTGATCGCTTTTGGTCTTGTAAAACTAATCGAAATTAGCTGCTTTTTGCCTTTAGATTACCTAAAGTTTGCCATCCCATGTTTCTAGTTAATTATATACATAAATATTAGTGTTTCAACATCATAAATACTAGTGCTTCAAGCGGTGCAACATCGTCTAAACTAAGTCTTGTCGGACCTCAACAGATGGGTGCGTCGTTTGACTGTGGCACATCGAAAAAGAGAACCCTTTTTCAAATCGTTTGGATTCAAAATTTGCCGCATATAAAGAAAGCATTCGGTAAAAACAAATTACCCACAACGATTTCCCTCAATTCCTCGGAATTTCTACCTAGAAGTAGCTCTGTTCATTGACGAGTAGGCAAGTTGAGGCGTCCAAACAAAGATTAACATAAAAATTACATTCATCAGTCGTGGCCATTAAGGCATGATCTTAGACATGTTGCGAGCCGCAAAGAAAAATATCGAAGTGTTTCTACAAGAAGCAACTTCAGTTTATGAAAACCTGTTAACAATGACGCGTATCATTGACGAGCAAACTTGTATATGCGTGAATAGTACAAGCAGAACTAACTGAAATATGCTCATTTCAGCAACCAGTTTTACTGCTCTTACTCTCCTACACCTCGTTAATTAATGTTAAGGAGTGGATTGGTAATAGAGCACGGATAACTTGTTCATCAATAACGAAAGATCCAATAAGAGTAACTTCGTTACTTTCAACACTCACAATGGACATTTTGACGAGCCCTGCCTATTTCAAACCAACACATGACGCTATATAATACTGGTTATTAATATATACTATAGCAAGAAGCGACTCTGCATGGTGATGATTTAAAATTTAAATTTTTACAACCATAGCGTACGGTTGGTAGCAAGTGTTAATAAAGGAATCTTCAACAGTGAGAAGTGCGCTGAGTATCTTGTAGTAATTGGACGGTAGTATCGAGAAAAATAAAAATATCAAGTATATATATATATAACTCAAGTCGTATATTAAAATAGCAGAGAATATCTCAAGAGACATATCATAGTCATTGAAACTGTACTAGTTCTAAGAGTACGATTTGAATCAATTTGCAATGATAGATAGAGAAACGAGCGAGGTAGCCAACCATGCGAGAATGTAAACATATACATCGCTTTTATTTTATACGATTTGAGCGGAAATGTGGCCTGTAGCTATACGTACGAGTTTGTGAACCAATGTACATCAAATCAAACCTTTTATACTTTGAATCAGATAACGGGCACTGTGTATTGCGAAGACTATTAGTGTTAGGTTGCTAATGTCTGCCTGATGATATGCCAGCAACGTTCCTGCTTGCGAACCCCGGTCTTCGCTTTGTTTTTAAGTTTACTCGGGAAGTTTCTTTTTAGTGGTGCATAAGTGTCATTTCTCTTCTTCGATATTTGAAAAAGATACAAAAATTAATGAGTACCAATGCGTCGTATCGGGGACCAGCCATATAAAGCACTACTTAGCGGCACCAGCTGACCTGAGGTCCAAAATTATATGCACTCTGAATGTGAAGTTCTAGCTGCCGTGGGTGGCGTTGTCTTTGATTGGTCTAAATAGCAAGCTTATTGGATAAACACGCTGAATTTTCCCACACCGATGGTATCGCATAGTCTTTTGGTGTTATCTTTTCACGTTTTCCCATTGTGTATAACGTTTCAGTTTTACTTATCGAATCTGTATCCAAGCGATGAAAACAACGATCTTTTATTTTTGTAGATTATATTGTGTACCAAGTGCGGAGGTTTTTCGTAATGAGCTCTTATAATGTGACTGGTCATAAGGCCGACGCCTTATCAGGTTCAAATACTGGAGATGGGACTAATGATATGAAACGAAGCGTCACATTTGCGGGGAGCTACTCAACACCAAGCTCGGAAAACACTGTTCCAGAGCGAGTTGAAGGAACAGGCTCCATTCTGAGAGGTAAGCTTATTTTTTTTTTACTAACTTTAATATCAGCAAACTATAAGCATCTGAAACATTTTTGTGCTTAGCTGTTTATAAAGTTGACAATTTAAATACAAATAGAAAAGTGAGATATTTATTTTATCTTCCATCATCAATCAAGGTGTTTCTATTGCATTGTATAACCGAAACGAGCACGTCGGTCAATCGATTATTTTGAACTACTTCTCAGTAGCGGTGAGCATGGCTGTGCTATTTGAGGAGAAATTTTTGATTTAGAAAAAGCTTAAAAACGTTTGTGGCTAAAAACTGGCGAGCGCAGATAATTTTCCCGCACAAATCACGTATCACAATTATCAGACTAAATCATTAGTACGGTATGTTAAATTCTGGCAAGGACAGTTTACACAAGATTACGTAGGAAGGTTCTTGGTAAACTGTTGCTTTTCTATGATCAGATCCTATTGATAGTGTTCTGATATCAACAACCATAATGTTCAAAAAAGTCTAATCGGAGGTCTTAATGGCTTAACGTTAATGGCCGTCGGTAACCTGGCCAACAGGCTCATATGGAGGTAGCAGCACTTATACGGATTTTCGAATGCGCGGATTTAACGACAGGGAGGTACGTACAGGATTCATCCGGAAGGTGTATTCGCTCCTGTTCGCAATGTTAGCTGTAACCACGGGGATCCTGGCCTGCTGTATCTTCATCGATGACGCTCGCAGATTCGTTATGCAGCAATATGAAGTAGCCTATATTGCTATGTATGTAAAATAAACTTTTCCTATTTGGATAATAGTGATAATAAATAATGCGGCCATAATAACTACTTTAGACAATGGATATAATTCGACTGCTTCGAAATTTGCGGCAATTGAGGAAAATTGTTAGCAGCATCTTAACTAACAATCTCGCGTCATCTACCGTCAATGATTTTCAAGCAGCTAGCTTCGCGTTAATGCCTATGTTACGTCGCCTTTAAGAGCTTCTATCTCATTCATTTTTAAGAAATGTATTTAGCTTGAGAAAGCACCTAATAATATACTAAATACTCGTTAAATAGGTAAAGCAGTACCTAACGTATGGTGAGAAACCAGGTGACCTTGGAGTGGACTTGGGGATAGCGGGATGGATTTATGGCACCGTAATAAAACTGATAAACTAGGAAACCTTTATAATTTGACGTCGTTATTATATCTGGAATAGACAAAGGGTTTGCTAGAGACGAAGAGAGAAGCAATCTTTTACGTTGCTAAAAATGTTAGTCTCATGCCTCAATAGAGGAAAAAAATTGACACATGATCTACATGATTATTGAAATATAGTTCAAGCTATGCATAAAATATCTCTGTTAATGTCCGTCGCTTTTAATGATACCTATGACTCAGTTTTTTCTATTTTGATTAAAGTGTTTCTTTGCAGGTTGGCGTCGAGCCTCAAATGTATCAGTTGACGAATCAGCAGTACGATTATGGGGGCTCAGACCCAGATAACCAAAATGTAGGCAACCCATGAGACGAATTATCATAGCGTCTCTAAGACGCATATACATGGTTTCGATATTGCTGGGAAAGCGATCCGCTTGTACAGCTTCGAGCGTACTTAAAGGATGAAGTTACTTTAAGGTTCATTCATTAACTTCCTTGACTTTTCAAGGGTACCCATTATGAATAATCGCAGCTACATTGTTGGTCAGTTTATCCGTTAACCGTAATTCCACGGTGACTAATAACTCGAGAACATGCGCAATATTCCCGCATGTGGAGTGGTTTAGCATATTCACGGTATAGCACGTTCGACTGACGCCATACGAAAGAAATGTTCTTGGCACCTGTTAAGCTTATATTAATTGATTTGATCACCTGGATGTGATGAACGCATAATGAAAAATCGTTCATCTTTGGCAGTACGCGGTTTTGAACCTGGTCCACTCTACCAGCGTGATACGACGCTACGCCACTGTCGAGAACCTACTCATTACAGTCAAAGACGCGCTCAGTGATTTCAGGTTTGCAAAAATGTTTATAACTTATCCAATGGCCTTTTGCGATCCGCGGGTAGTTGACGCCAGCGCTTCAACCATTGTCTCAGTTACCCTTTCTGTCTCGTTATTTGATGCATTTTCAGCAAAGACACAAGATCTCAAAAATACAACCAATTTATAACGCAGACGTGTGTTCACTCATTTCATTTCCTTTAAACAGAGCTCATTTTATTAACTGGAGTACTCTGGATTTCCGGGTACAGGAGAGACCGGCATCGAAACGACCGATGATTAAGAAACTGTATTTATAAATTTCTATCAATTATGAGTCATCCTGCCATTTACATAGTATATCTCTAGACCTCTGGTTTAATAGATGAAGTCTTCCTGGAGTCACACTAAGAGCAGAGGCCTAACAAATGCAATAACTTTTCATCAAAGTGCCTCCTATTAAATTTCTCACACCCAGTATTTGTACATATAGAATTTTTACACATCTAAACTGTGTTTACCACCTTCAATCGCCTTAAGTTTGAGTCCATATGCTTGATTGGGTATTACAATAGTTTTTGTTCTCAATCTGCCGTGATTGTGATTTGTGATGAATGGAATTATATCTAGTTAATTTCCTCAAAAGCTGGCAGTATCAAATAATAAAAATGTTTTTTATACCATTGTACTCCAAGCTGAGATTAGAAATTACCGAACCAACGGGGAACATTTTTATCATAAACGGCGAGGCTTATTTCATAATTTATTAGATAACATGGGATGGTGCTATACACCTTATTGTGCGATGGCCCTACGAGTCCCAAGAGGAGCATCTATGACAAAAGATAAATCGAGGATTGTCATACCGGGCTTCTACAGCCAAGCGTCGCTTTTTTACTGGGACTTCAAAGTCAGGACAGTCTTCAAACGGCAATGCTGCTCATAGAAACGAGCTGGTTTTAGTGGCTTGTAGCTTCAACAAAGAGCAGAATGATCAGGGCAAATTTGTATTGCTGCCTGAAACCCTAATCTAACTAAACAAACATCGATAGTTGTAAGTTTGATTTAACCCAACCTATTGATTGTTTCAAGAGGAAAAATACAGATATAACTGTGTTTTGCTATTTACAACCGAAATATATTCGCCAGCAAATAGAAACCTATACACACTGCTGGTCGATCGTCCTTCGGTTGTAAATAACAAAACGCTAATAGTCACGTCTGTGTTTTTCCTTTTGAAACAATAAGCTAGGCTGGACGACCTAAAACTAGGCTGGAAACCTAAAAGTAATTTTTCATATTTGTCAAATATTTTGTTCGCGCTAACGTCTTGGTGCTAGCAGTTAATGAAGATCATAGTAGTAATGTCAGCCATAACATCTTATCTGTCTGTATGCCACCTGCTTCCTTTATTTCTAACTACTTATGATGGGTATAATCATCATTCCGTTTGATGATTGCAGCGGAATCTACTTCGTAAGTGTGTTCATCATACAATGTTGCCCAGGCTTGCTGCGTCAGCACCCAATGAACCTGATCGTACTTATCCTCTACACGTTATCTTTAGGATACATGGTTGTCTTCATATCGTTGTACTACAAGACCCAGTCGGTCCTTCTCGCCTTCGGTAATCATTTTTCGAAAACGCAATCCACCCCTTGCACAACCTTCTTCTATATGCGCACAATAGCCAGTGGCGAAATAAGAAACGTAATAACAAAGTCGTCTGTTATACATGTTTTTAGGTGTAAATTTCGCTATTTGTTTTAGATCGATTGTATCGATTTCATGTCCTAATCAGGTGTGACAAGTATGTAGACTGTTTCGGTGTGTGGTAGACTGTTTTCTTAGTTACAAAGGGCCACTGCCTAACATCTGATTGGAGCGAAGCGCTCATGAGCTTTAATGAGAATGTCGAAAAGCCGTTTTTTTGTGCGCACTTTACTGATCTCGTGTTAAAACCCTTTTCATACGAGATTCTATATGGACACCGTATTACGGCTGTCTCGCAGTGCTTGGAAAACCGGTTAGGATCGGGGACTGTATATGAACAGTCTGCAGGAACTGAGTGGGTAGAAAGTTAACTATATCGCCTTTTTTTTACGTTCGGCACTGCGGTAGCATTGCGTCAGATAGAAATTCTAACTAGGTAAAGCTAAACCACATCATCAGCTACCCCAGATAGGTTGGCAAACATAGTGTCTTAACGCTATATCGTGAATGACTAATGTGCCGCGCAGAGTTAGTATAATTTTCTTTTTGATCTTCAGTTGCTTATTTATTTCGTTGCTTCGAAATTATTCTTGCGCAGGTATTTGCTCGGCATGCTGTTTCTCGATTACAATATTTGCGTTGACCACAACAATCGACTTTACGAAGTGCGGGATTTACTTAACCATTGCGCTTATTTGCTTTATGGTGTTCAGCTTCATCATGATATTTGTTCAAGCACCTATGGCTCATAAGGTATGGTTATATAAAACGAGTTGATCCGATACGTAGTCTTATTCCTTTATTGATGACTAACGTACCATCCCTAGGCCGTTCGTCGGTTTCGGCAATTTATTTATTAGGTCGTTCTATATTACAGACACAGCGATCTGAAGGTAATTAAACCGTATTCGCACTACGCAATAAGGTCGAAGCGAAGGATCTTACATTTCTAACTGACTAGTCGCGAAGTTATGTCGTCAAAAAAGTTACCCGATCTATGTTCTACCAATGCTCAAAAGTGTCCGCAACGTTGTGTAGGATTGTGTTACATTTTGCATGTATTGACACATAATCTTATAGTGTTGCGCGGTCTTTGAACGCCGGAAGTTTAGAGAATAGCGTATATTCAATTACCATACACATGGTTACGTGCGTTCATGTTTGGTATAGGGATAGAATTGACGTTAAAAGCTATATAATTACCGGTTTAAAGTACTCGTAAGCCTGTTGGTTTTGACGTGTTTCACCGGTACAGACGAACATTATCAAAAAATAGAGGAATCTAATTTTGTTATATATCTCTATACGTTTCCGTACCGCATTAGTTGGAATAGCAACAAACTTTCTCTTAAAATGGAGCCAATATAAAACAGGAATGGCAGCAGGATATGAAGTTAAGCAAAAGACGGCTAACGCTATATTTGGTTTTGTCTAATTTCTAGATCTACGCGGCTATCGGCGCGGTGTTATTTATGGGAATTCTGCTATTCAACACGCAGCTAATAATAGGCGGGAAGGAGTTTGAACTTTCACCAGACGAATATGTAGTTGCCGCCATTTTGCTATACGCAAGCATTATCCAGATTTTCCTGTTTATTCTTGAATTGCTCGGAGAGAGACGACGGTAAACAATTACCGGCGAAGTGGATAGCTAGAACCACGTGCATCAATTTATCAATCTACATATGACAGAAAGAGAACAATTTGACATAGTAAAGGGCGCAGTATCTGACGTTGTCCAAAACAGCCGAAATAAGTTGGGTCTCTTTTTGTTTAACTTTAAAAAAAAACTATCAGCTTACAATTTTATACCACCGATATATATGTGTATATATATCGGTGATATATATATATATATATATATATATATATATAATATAGATATATAACATATGTGCAAACAATTTAATAATGCATTCTCTGCATTGAAAAAAGACACGGAGAAAATTCTGTTAAACGAGATTATCGTACAAGCGAACATTACATTTGGGGCAGTGGTTTATTCAGTGCTCTGTTTAGCATTTTAAACCTTTGACTCCTTTTACAAGTGTCCGCCTTGTAATGCCGAATATGAACGTAAGTATATCATAAATCACTTTCGATTCGTTAGCTTCACATGTATTGTTGTTGTTGGCAATTCATCATACGACTGCTTCAGAAGTAACTGGTGACAGCTGATCAAGGCGAAAGGCGAAAGGAAAAAGTCCGTCTAAGAAATAAGATAACTCACGTCATCGTTACCGCATTATCTGACAAGTATAAAAAGTGCACTTAGAAATGAAAATATTAACTAATGGGTCGCAGTATCTCGCTCTGCTAGTAAGGGATTGACGCAAAAGATACGTGAATTGTGCGTCAAAAGTTCGCTCGCTGATTGAAACCCCGCAAGCCGAACACTGGAACCGTTTGGTGCTGACGCGAGGCTTTGTCTGAGGATTCTTTGGTTAGGCAGTGTTCAAAATGAGATTAAGATCTCATTACACAGAACGTGTCCTTTTGCTTACTAACGGTCAAGTTCCGCACATTCAGTTTCCGCCATACGATGTTTAAGCTGTTTCAAACAAAAAGTCTTTTGAGAAAAAGATTGCGTACGCATAAAAAGATCGATCCTCCTTCCCGTGATCGAAGTATGCCCTTCCTATTTGCGTTTAGCGAACAGCGATTCTATTTCTTATCCTAACCTAGCTTCCACCACCTTGCTAACGGTGCGGTGTGCCATCCCTACTAAATTTTGACGAATTTAAGTGACAAGTAAAAATAATGAATAAAACATCTGATCATATACTTGAACTATGGACTGTAATTAAGAGGAGGAAGTATAGCGCAGTTCTTTTGTACGGTTTCCCGAAAAGAAAACAGCTTTTATAGGCTAATAAGAGTGCAGTAAACAACAATCTGTTTGCGTTGGCGCAGAAATCGCACAAACCTTTCCCCCGCACTCCGTAGTCTCTGTATTTAAGAATAAAGTGAGCTTATTAGAACACATACATTTGAAGCAAATATAGTATATAATATAACGAGAACTCCGATTTTTCCACTCAGTTATCTAAAGGATATAATTATTGATAAACCGTACAGATACGCGACCCATATATTATCGCCTGGAATAAATACTTCAAGCATTATTTTTTTTTTTAAATATATTTTAAAGTAACACCAATGTTTGTGAATATCCAGATTGAAACCCTTTCATATAAATGAATCAGAAGTTTGAAGTATCTTCGTTACCTGCAGAAATCATGTGTACGTTTATCTAGCTTGAAATATGAATAAGAATAATTGGCGACGGGACTCGCTTCGTTAAATGTTTGCCATTTTTGAGAAAAGTACAAGACCTTTTTCCGGAATGAATCAACGTCTTATTGTAGTGCTTCTATAAAGTTATAGAGAAGGGTATGCCAACGTTGAGGATCATCTAGGTAGGCAGGGTGACGCGCATTCGGAATCATGTGAGTCGCTGCACGGGGCATAGAACTCAAAAGAGCACAGCCGTACAAAAACGCTGATGATTCCTTTTCACCGAAAACGACGAGAGTGGGCGTGGCGTAGCAAGACAGATCAGGGAGTACGGACGGCGCGTGTCGCAGCAGAAGCGGATGTGTAATGGAACTCTTTATGAGTGTCGGAAAAACCAGCAACACAAAACAACGAGTTACTGCCGGCCTTGAGAAAAGTTTGGTGTGGCCAAAATTGGTTTTCTATTGGTTTATTTCGTTGGTTTCGCACGTGGTAGAAACTGGCGCATGTTTTCATTCATGTTCGCAAAATGGACATTAGTTGATATTAGTAGACAATGAAATTTGTTCTAAAATTAAAAAAAATATTTGTCTTTGCTTTTACCTTTTTCGGAGGCTCGCCACAGGCTTTACTCGGTGGCGACTTCAACAGATCAGCTCCTACGGGAGCAACAGGCACATAACCCTTTAAGAGATTCGGATGCTTATTCAAAAATGGTATGGAGAAACTTCCACTCATTGATGGTGACACGATCACTGTGCCCTGAGGTTTAAATGACAAAGCGTACATTAGTTGTTCCAGAAATAGAGCCTGCAAATCGAAAAAATAGGCATCTTTTTATGTGCCTTTATCTTTAATTTATCGCTACTGAAGACACATGTCATTCAGGTTTATAGTTGCACTTTCCTAGCAAGCAAAAGAGGTTGATATGTGAAGGTATATATTTATCACGTTTGAGGGATACAGATCAGAAATTGAGCAAACCATTTATAAAATAACTCCAAAAGAACGAATCACTGGCAAGAATAAACGTGAGCAGGATATTCAGCTTCACTGGAGAGTTTGTAAATGCACATGTGGGCATGAAAGACTGCAGATTCCATTACCTTGTCGAGTCCTGCTTTCGCAGGTGTTTTACCAAATCCCGGAAGATCTACAGCAGCTACCGCATATCCCATGGCTGCCAAATGCTGTATCGTGCCCAATTCCATCCACGTAGCAGAGGAAAATGCTTGCCCATGCAAAAGTAAAACATTCGCCGTTGAATTTGCGTCTGTGTGTTCCACTCGAAGAACACGAACAGGAATGCCCAACACGCTAACGGAGGCGGTTGATACGGAGACAAGCTTAACCTGTAGTTGGGTTAAAGACACTGTTACGATAGCTCAGTAAGCGATCCGCACATCCAGTGTATATCAAAGTATCACTTCAATCACATACATACTTCTGCATTTCACAAACCTATGTTGCCATGTGTCATGAATAGTCTGTTTAGTATACTGTTTTTGTTTCATATATTATAAAATTTTACGGAGAATATTTAGTGGTTGTAGTAGAGGTAAATGTTGCCGGTCAACCTTGAAACACCAATCGTAACTGTCGCGCACTGCACTGCACCTAAGTATTCTATGTAGGTATCATTAGATATGGTGATCCTACTCCTGTTTTAAAATATAAGATTGAACGTCTCCAATCTCAATCATGGAAGTCACAAAAAGCCGTACGAACACAAGGGTTTGTTGAAGGTTCAGATGGCTGCAGCGAAACCGCAAGAGACGTTAAACTCGCGTAGGCTGACGAAATCTTCTACTATTTTTTTAGGTCCAAACCCAAATATACTTTATTTTGGAGCTGCGACTTGTTAATGGCCTGTACCCATTAACTGTCATGTGGAACGCGCGAAATTATATCAAAACTATCCAATTTTCAAATTAGTCGAACTAACTGAAAGCTGCATTTACTTGCATTACTGCATTACTTTTGAAAAAAATATTTTCTTCGCAGCTGACTCTCAACCCTTACTCCCTGTATATTGAATCACCGAGGATCTGAAGCGTGAGGTATTATTACGAGGTCATCCTGGAAGAGGCCCACAGTATAACTGGGTTTTCTTTAGTAGCAAGCCGAAACCACCTGCAAAAAACAGGCTCACGTTACCCCGATGTAAAGTACTATATGTCATGTTACTTTGCATTTGCTGTTGACTACCCCGTCTGTTGCAGCAATGAAATATAGGCTCACATTCAAAATATCAAGAAGTCGTCTATTGATACGTCTATCCGACCCTCGGTTCGCAGATTTGTGCGTCATTGTTCAGGACAACACATTTGACATTAGCAAAAAAATGGTCACGCGATGGGATGATCTCACCATGCGTATTTTTTAGAATAATTTTGAACAACTGAGTTTTGTTGTGGAGCCTTCACAGGACCTGTTGGGCTTTGATAAAATCGGCTGTATTGAAACTAGAAATCATTTAGCCACCAGCTTTCACTATTGACAACGGAGAGCATGTTGCGCACATTGCCCAAGAAACGACAAACTCACATTTTCATCTCATCGCGTACACATAAACGACGTCGATAAAATGTCGATATTCGTGTCGTCCGCTAACCCACGTGTATGTTGTGCGATCAGTGTACGGAGGAATTCGGCGTGGCCTTGTACTTTTACTAACTCAAGCAGTGCTTGTTTTTCCAACTTTAAATTTAAGATGGTGAGTTGTTTATTAGAAATGCTCTAATGTTATGTACATGTCAGATACGTCGAATTACTGTTCTATTGAACTCTGTATAATTGTACTTATAATATGAAAATTGCTGCGTCAAACGCATATTCATTGAATGACTTAATGTTGGCGCCAATATACCATTGAAGAAGTTTGATGAAACTGGAGCCGTTCGATTGTATCGACTAGTTTGACCTTATCAGAAACGTCAGAAGGGAGTCGACAAGAGGAAGGTGCTAGCACAGAGCTGTATGAGGCCCTTGTTCGTTTTGACTCGCTGTTGTCATAGTCTTAATTGTATAACTATAAATAAAGTGTAAAGACGAACTGATTTCAAATAAAAGAACTATGTAGTATATATTCTTATTTTTATTCTATCAGTAAATGATTAGCTATTATTAAATTGCGAATCGGGTTAGAAAAGAATGCCTGAAATAATACGTTTTTCTGTCTGTTTAATAAAAACTGTTTACTTAAGCTAAACCCTTTCTTTGTACTATAGACATTATGTCCAGAGTAACCCTTTAATAATCATTAGCTCAAACTAATTTGTCACTGCCACAAATCTGCGGAGGTTAACGCTGTTTAATCAAACTAAATAAAACACTTCGATCATCGTAGGGTTTCGTACCAGTGCAGCCTCCACAGTACGAAGGGACTGGATTGATAAAGAAAATCTCACTAAATCGTGACAAACACGTCAAAGGAACAATTCGCATGCTTACCCCGGCCGAAATGCGCGGACAGGAATGCACTTTTTTATTTGATAATGTAAGCTAACAGCATACAACAAACTTTTTCTTAATGTTAAATTAAATAATATATGATGTTATTTTTACTGTTATAACTTCTAAACAATGTCTTTTTCACGTATTTGCAGTTGGCGTTACAAAAATATTTTCTACCTGGAACAATAGTAACACTGCCAATTACTCCATTGTGAATTTCGCTTCCAAGTTCGCTAATTATAAAAAAAAAACTAATAAAAAAATGATCATATAAAACAGATATATTGAACAGAATACGTTTAGAAAAAGTTGAAAAAAGTAAAAAAAAAATTAAAAACATATGATCTGCTTTTTCAATATAGAGATTGTCATTTATAGGATCCTACAGAGTCTATGGATTATAAATGTGTAAAGTACACGTTTCTATCAAGCTTATTTCCTTTTTTTTTTTTTTTAACACAGGTCCGAGCGACTGACGAAGAAAAAGACTTTATGTCGATTGGTATGACAATGCAGTTCTTCTACAGTGGCAATGAGATCACCGGATATCGAGCGAGTAACGTGAGTTGAGTTTTTTTTGTTAATAGGAAAAAAACTACGTAAAATTAAGCGGAATATATAAGTATGTAATGCGGTAATATCAGGCATTGCGCAAAACTATTTTTACCGTATACTGATAAAACGTTTCGTCTCGATCGGATGCAAAGCAATGCTCTGTGAAGTCAGTTTACGTCAGTCCAATAATAACTGGGTCCCCTTAATAATAACTGATTCCCCTTAGTACGTAATATTCAGTCTACTTTGTACATGCAGTCACACATGTTATATGATTAAATAGTTCAAATCTTAATAAACATGATGTTAAGTATCCATTTTTAGCAGTCATTGGCTCTAGTAGAGCATAGATACTATATTTACATATGTATCGCACGTAGGAAGCTGTCTAAAAATATTTGAATTAATAGCTTCCTAGATCTTATCGAGATTTTCATTATATCTGCTGTGACCAGTCGTCAATAGGAGTACCTGTATGATATTGGTGTGGTGCTAACGAATGAAGTGGTGACGTATTTTCTGTACTATTATAGCTACAACTAGTGGACGTTGCCGACTACACCGCGTTTGTGTGTAGAGTCCCCCCTGCAGCGACTGCTGAGGAAGATGCTAGCTTAGACGATGAAGCGAGATGGACAGGCCTTGAAGTCACCGTTGATCTAACACTGGAGAGAGTGCGGGTTAGCGCGAAATCTCTTCGAGAACTCTTCACAAATCCAGAGACTGGTGAAGTTGAGCCCTGTACTATCAAACCCGGTGATCGCTGTCTCATACAGATCTCAACGAAATACTGGCTACGGGTTCGTATTTGTACTGTTGCTATTAATAGTTCCAATAATGTTCCGACTGGTCTTTAGCTTTCCAACTCAAAATTTTATTTCATCTCGAAATTCATTCCGTATGAAAAAAAAAATATATATATATATATATATATGCTTTTTCACATAAGTAATTCTATATGGCTCTAGCTCTTTTGTCCGAAGAGCCGTTCACACGTTCGCTTCACGCAATCAATCACTTTTCATCACGCATGTATCGAATCATTTTGAACTCACCGATAATACTATACGTAGCTACCATAGTCAAAACGTGCAATAGCTTGAAAGCCTTCGTTTATCTTTCAGAGAAAAATGAAACTAGTGTTTTCAGGGGATAAGCTCAACCTGTGAGCGGTAGCAATATTTGCATGAATCTCAAATATAGTGAAAAAGTTCGACTATTGCAAAAGAGATATAGTGACATAAAAGGAATTCAGGCAATTTTGCGCTCGCTAGCTTTACTTGTAGAAGAAGCGTATACCTAACACAAGCGTTTCCGTTGCCAAGAGAAACCAAAAAAAATGTTGTTATCTGTTTTCCTGTTGGAATATGTATTATTCCGTTACATGCCAATGCAGCGAATGCGTTAAAAACGTGTTTCAGATGATGACTCTGGACGAAAAAATGGAGTACACAATTGTAAGTTTTCTCCCCTTTGATTCAACGGTCTCGAAGGGTCATGCTTCAGCGGAAAAGCAGGCAACCTTGCATAATTCGCTAGAGCAACAGAAAAATAAAGTAGATAGTGAGGACCAGTCATTGCCAAAGGTGGATGCGCCCTCTACGTCCGCGCCGTTTTCGGATGCACCATCTGATCTTTCACCCCAATGCAACCCACAACCTGAAACAAGACAAAAAGCACGAGTCGCCAAGCTACATGATAATTTGGATAGCAATCGTTGGAGGTTCACTAAACCTGTTCGAGGCCACGCATGGGTAAGCGATCAGACCGAATACAGTTCAAGCTATCGCGACTCCAACGTGCTGGAGCATGATCATCACTGCCAGTGCCGCCGAGGTGTGAGTGGTCCGCAGGTTGCACGAATTTGTGGTCCGGGCTGTTGTGTAGATGAGATGCTCGACCGTCAACCCGTCTCCTTTCATCATCAAGCACAATCACTATCTACTTATAATCTGTCGGCGTTCCACCATCAGGAACGATCAGTTTCCAGCTGTGGTAGAGAAGCCCGCAACCGAAGATGTGTTATCAATGGTTTAAAAGTAGACGAAAGCACCCCACCCCTTTCTTCACGCAGACTTCATACGACTTCATCGCAAGACGTGGACGAAAATGATGACAGCGACGATGACGATGAAATTGAAGAGTATTGTCCTGTACAGGACAAAATGGTTGGCGCATGCGCCGCTGCCGGAGCCATGCCCTATATAGGAGTAAATTCATGTAGCTTTGTTGCACCAATATTTTCGTGCCTTCGCATGCCTGGAAATTACACGGCGACCCTGGACACGATGGAGGCTCATATGAGCGCAACAGGCGCATGCGACCATCGTTCGATAGGCGACTACCCAAGCGCAGCTGGGCCTCATTCGCAGCCAGGCTCTGATCAATGCCAGTAAATTCTTAACAGACCTCAGTAGCACCGACCACCCTTGACAAAGTAAACATGTTTTCCAACATGCCACTGCAGCCGTACTTCGCCCAGTGGCCGGAGCTACCCCCTATACCTGGCAGTTCCGTAGGTTCAGTTATATTGTCGGATGCAACAACAATGATTCATATGTGACGTTTATTAGTAAGTACACGACGAGGACAAACCTTATCCAGAATTTTCTGGGGAATGGCTGGTTCGGAAAAGTCGACACATTTAAAATCCATGCTTCCAGCGAGCCTTCGTGATCTCCTTGATAATACGTCTTTGTTGAATGCACTGTAAGTTTGAAGTGCGAGTACAGCGCCAAGTGAAATAGTCGCCAATAAAGCGGATAGCAAGGGCCGGCTACGAATCATTTCTGTAAAGATCACATAACAGAACAAACGCGAAGTTCCATTTGAGGGATTAACGGGACTAAATCATCAGACAACTCTGTTCAACACCTATTCATAACAACCATTTACATCTCAACACATGAAGTAAATAAAAATATTCCAACACTGTTTGCATCCTATTTTGGTTGCACAAACAAGTTTCAATATGAAAGCTTTTGATAGAAAAAAAAGCATACAATTGTTGATTCGATACACTGTTTTTATATGTATATACAGGTGGACCGTGTGCATCTAATAACCCAACATCTGACGTTATAGTTACCTAATGGTAATCTATAAACAATGTTACTTGGGGACTGGAAGTATGTACTGCCGACGATGAATATTATATATTCCTAAGATTCATTGACCTACAAATAACGTTACAGTGTTAGCAGTTCCGTAATCATTGAAATCACATTTCGTTATTTTAGTTACAGAACGTTTGAATAAACAGTAATGATTTGCAATGGTAACTATCATCATAATCGGGTTCATTTCGCGTAATGAGCATGTCGTAACTTCAGTATCATAAAATGATCAAACAAAACTGTCATTTAGTAGCGTGACACTAGCTTCAAAGTATGAGTCAAGAAGAACCACAATTGGCATTTAATTATCTTGGCGCATCACTCATGCATTCATCCGCCTTTTGTTAGATATCGATATCAGCTAGCTTTAACAAAATCTTACATGGCACACGCAAACGTATTTAGTCTTCTGATGGGAAGTACAGATTTTTAAAAGCCCAAACTCCGCACAATTTACTCACTAGGCAATCTAAGTACATACATGCATAGCTTAAATAACGTCTAGGGTTCTTTACGTTGTAGCAGTATACTTATTCAAGTGTTGTTGTTATTTTCAATATAATACATTGATTTTTGCCCCTAATTAACATACTTAGTGAGCACTCTTATATCTTTCAGTTCCTGGCTGCAGAGATTATTAGCAAAAATGCCACCGAAATATAGGGCGCGATTAGTGTAAGTGACGCTTGCGTTTCATCTAACCGTCTCTTAATATTTCTCTGTCGACCTCTAGCAATTGATCTCTGACCCAGCGACGACTGACGATATGGTAGCACCAGAAAAATATTACATCGTTTGTTCACTTCGGGCCAAACTATTGACTCGTACTTAGAGGCTTAACTAGTTTCGTCTGTTAGAAACATATGATTAAACATCTTCCTTTAAATGTATGTAAAACGCTACTGAAGGACACTATTTTGTAGCTATCATATTTGTTGTTACACCATTATACGCACACTGTGTCAATGAAGCACCGAGTAAAATCTCTTTCGGAACACTTGGCTTGTCAGCGGTTAATCTTGACACTACAGAGAGCTATATAAACATTTATCATTACTGACCTTATTGACTTTTCACTGCTTCTTGTGCTCTTATCATTTAGGAGAGTGCGGTGAGAGGTTAACATTTAACAATCACGTGTTACTCAATGGCAGCTACAGCTGCGCTCCAACGTTCCAATTTAGTTGCACTAGAAACTCAGTCACGTGCCAAAACTTCTAACCTGTATCGATTTAGCTCATTCCTGTGCTTTCAGCAAAGCAGCCTGTCGGTCCAAATGCATTCATTCATCAAGCAGAGAGCCAAGAAAAAAGTAGCCCAAATAGATCACTGTACATGTATTGTACACAGATTGTACCCAAGTATTAGAGAATCGACATATATATATATATATGTAAACCAAGAAGCAAAATAAGTTATCAGTGAGGGGCAAAAATGCTGCGCCAACTGGGAGAATTGAACCCCCGACCCCTGGTTTACAAGACCAGTGCTCTAACCTCTGAGCTAAGCTGGCGGCAGCGAATATGTCCGGTTAGGTTAAGGAAGATCCGCACATAGTACAAATTTTACAGTCAACCATTCTGGCACTAAAATGCATCGTTTCTAAAAGACAGTCGAGTGTTTGTCTATTTGTAAAATAAAGAACGTTATCACAACATATATTACATAAAATAATTATTCTGATTCACTAAAGACCTTTGTAACATATGCTGTCGCAGTAATAACTCGCATTTAGCGGATTACAGAATAAAAAAGTACGAGCAAACTTACTCAGTTAGTGAATTCGTTAATAAGTTGCTACTAACTTATGACACTCATATAACAATAGGACAAAAATAAGAATGAAAGATAATTACGGAAATATCAACCTCTACATATCCTGGAATAACGGCTAATATTGTTAATATCAAATACTGAAGAGCTCATCGTTCAGCCCAACGATTATTATTACAAACAGGTAAATGTTATGTTATTGCAAGAGTCATTACAATTTAAGCAATGTGGTCTTATAAAAGTTGTTGAAAACGTTGTCGTAATCAAACAATAAATTTAAGCTCATACTTAATAATCATTTCTATTTTGTAAGAGAATATAAGTTTGCTTCAATGATTTCATGGCAGCTGATTTTCTGCTCCAACTTTTAAGGTTAGACCTGAATATCGCAAGCGACGCAAGAACCTAGAGATAACAGACAAAGGATAATTGCAATTAGCAATAATCTCAAAGTCATATTAGGTGTTAAAAGTTTAGCGTAGTGGGTAATTCTAAGCGCACTTTTCACAGCTACCACATATCACTACGGATTCGCTATACAAGCCCCAGCATCTATTTCGCATTAAGCTGGTGGGTTCATTGTAGTTTTGACGCTTGTCGTGTCCGCCGTAAAAGAGAGAAGGGTAAAGAGATGGAAAGGGCTGGCAGGAAACTGCGTTATTATTTGACCACATCAGGTAAGAGCTTACACATTTAAGCTAATTTATGCGGGATCAATTGTGACTTACCTGTGTGGCTATGCAGGATAAAGATCGGCGATCGACCCTTTTTTCTGCTCTATATGGAAACGCTATTTTTGAGCCAGTGTAGCCACTCTGAGTCTTTTGCTTCCTTAAATAGGCAAATTATGGCTAGGATCCGAAACAAGCGGCTCTCAAACGTACGTTCGCTACATAATTAAAGGTCACGACTTTCTGAACAGTGAATACAGGTCTTTTTGGGTCTGAAGTTCCAATAGTAAATAGCATTTTGCAGCCTGAATAAAACGGTCCATTTCTGAGTGTTGGACGAATACTTCAACGTAACAGAGATTACAGACGTATGAAATCTCGAAAAGAAAAAAATCATGTGGCTTTTTTTTTGCCTCATGTGTGATTCTAGTTTTCTTTGTGTCAAATTTAATTTGAGAACAAATTCTCTTGGTAGATACGATATATATATATATATATATATGGAATCGCTATACTATCGCTAGATATATATATATATATATATATATATATCCACCGAGACTTCTACCTATATATAAAAACATTAAGCAACTTAGTGATATATATAGCATGATGAGGAGAGTAAATACGCAATTTATCCTCTAAATGTACAGGAAGCCCTTCTTTTTATTTACATCGATTTTGGTTTTATATTTATGCAGCATAAAGTGGTTGATCAAATACATGCTATACTCATCATTCAATCACAAATATAATAAAAATACATCTAAATATACCTGAAAAGTTTCCGGTGATATCATGCTATTATTACGATGATATTTCGCCATAGCTGCACCTTTGCTTTATATTTCAACATGTTGCTTCATTTTTGGTTATCATTTATTTACTTGGACTCCAATTTATTGTTAGTCCATAACAGCTTTGTCAATGTGTATGAATCTGTTCGCTCTCAAGCAGTTCAACTAATGACATGTTCAGGTAGTAACTTAATAAATACGCAATTTTTTTATAACAAAACTTTAACTGTTTAAACTATACTGGCGTATTCAACTAAGCGCGCAGACGTGAACCGTCACATGCCTTAACATGCACTGCACACAATTGAGCACATTTCTCATTTACAATTCAACAAAGCAACGATTAGAAAAAAAGAATTTTTTAACAAAAACGCAAAGGGGGAGCAATCTGCGTCTTCCCTATGGCAGATAAAACACCAATTAAAAACACAGTCACGTATTTACAAAAAGCAACGAATAGCATTGTGTATATATTATCCGCTGGTAGTTAAAATTATTATGAACAAAATAAATTCCACCGGTACGAAGAAATTTCCAGCAAAAATCAAACATTTGATGATTTGCGCGATATATGTAACTCTTCACATACAAAAAGCTGTACTCACGCACTTAAATTAGTTGATTCCTCTGCAAGCTAATCTATAGTATAAGTACGATACAAAATCTGTATAAAGTCTGTCCTGAAAACGCTTCGAACATTGCTCATTGCGCATGACAACGTTATATTTCCAGAGAACAATATACGTTCATAACCGGATAATGATATGACTAAATTTTGCAAAAAATGTAAGAAGCGTTTCTAGGTGTTTTCATCAGTCTTCGCAATTGTTGGCTTAGTTTCGCGTTCCAAAAGGAGACTTTTTACTGACTCCTTTGCTGGTTGCACCGTCTTTTTAGGCGTTAGAATTTGTTCATCATACCTCTCACTCTGAAAGCAAAACAAAAACATGAACAGTGGATAAGTTGTTTTCTTTTCAAAACTCGGAAGACAAAGCGCGGCGCCGAATAACGTTTTGTAGTTAATTAGTAGGCATAATCATTACTATTATTATTATAGATGCCGAAACTCATGCAATGGGACGAAGAAATTCAAACCTTAATTGCGATCATCGGTGGTTTGGTCTCGCTTTCCTCAGCAAGAATTTCAAACGCCGCTAAATCTTTCAGCGGGCTCTCCGATGATTTTCCCTCCGTTTTTTCATTTCGCGTATCGTTCGACTTCTCTGTAGCGTTTTGTGGTGATATCTGTGTCAGCATGTCATTCAGATTTTTCTAAAACAGAAAAGATTTATGATCACACAAAGATCGTATTTGCATAATGACATAATACTTCGTGCATAAACAGTTTATTGTAAAAGTGAAAGTACTTGACCTCAATTGGATTTAAAACGTCTTCGTTGTTGTTTGTAACTGCTCTGTTACAACGTGTAAGAATTCGTCTGGACATGTTCGATACTTCACTACGCACCTCCTCAAGCTGTTGAGCTTGTGATACAGCTTTCGAGATTTCAGTTTGCTTATTCGCTGATTCTACGTTACATCGCATTCGTGGGATCGTCCTAGCACTAAAAGCAACGCTTCTCAACGGTCCAATTTGGCCAATTCTTCTTGGCGCTGGCATTGAGAATTTCGCATTCCTACGGACAATCGAAGGTGGTACTCTTATAATGTTTGGTCTGATTCCAAAGCCCGGTCTCGGTACTACTCGAGCTAGCAGACTGGGATGACTTGGAACTGTACTTGTTACCAAAGGTGCGGCAAGCGACTCCGGTGCTGTTAGAGCTTCCGTTGCGTTTGATGTAGTTGGAACGCTTGAAGCAACCGCTGGCATCGCCCTACGTGCCATTACTGAAGTAGTTGTTACGGTTTCAATTGCTACTGGTACTGTTTTAGCTGTTGTGCGTACGTGTGAGGTGGACGTCCCCTTCGGCGCTTTCGTTCTCGGCACTTTTCCTGTTTTGGCAGACTTTTTCGCCTTCTTCAGTTCTGGTAGACCCGGCTCATAAGCAGGAGGTTCGGGCAGCAACTCTTCAGGTTCTAGATCTGGAATGGGGTCTACGTCAGGGCTTCCGTCAAGAGCACGTCTCTTCGCCTGACGTTTAGCGTGTCTAGCTGCTCTTGCTGATATTGTTGGTTTCGAAGACTTTGGTGGCGATGGCGGTGGAGGCGGAGGTGAGGGTGAAGGTGATGGAGGCGGAGGCGGCGGTGGAAGTGGTGGTTTTTTGATGAGGTGAGGAAATGGTCTTTTTAGTAGCCCAACGCCATTTCGAATGTAACGGCCCAACGGGAATCTATCTGAGTGTCCTATGGAGATATTCTGTTTGACTGGTTTTCGAATCAACGTTCCGGGAGCGGGTACTCCCCGTAATGTTTGTTTTCGACGACCACTGCCAACAGGGAGATTTGGCGGGGCGGATAGATTCAAAGGCCGATTAGTGAAATCCTTTTCAGTCGATGTAGATGTCATTGGAACTTCGTCTACAATTTCTTCTTTGACAGGTACTCCATATTTCGTCGTATTTCCTGTCGTTTCTGATGCAAGTTCGTCATCTAACTTTGATGTGTACATCTGCAAGGAGATATGAAGGCATAATATGAAAGCTAAATTTTCATATCTTGAAGACGGTAATTCAACAAAATGCCATAAATATTACTGTATATATTGCCCATACAATAGTTATCTGTGGAGGATCAATAAAGCTTCAGTTACATACCCAAATATATATATACATAATAATAACCATAATCTTAGCCGAATGCTATGGTATCCCTTTTAAAAGCTGTTAAGATACATAGCGATAAATCGAAAACGTCGTTATATAAAAGATTACCCTCCAATCACTAGCAGTGATGAAAGCGAAATTCTTCGGTCTTGGCAGTTTTGGACAGCAACGTAGCTCCCACGCTTTACGAGCCTCCATAGGTTGGGCACCATTACGTGCCTCATCATCTCGAGTTATTTGTACAGGCCTTGACGTTCGCATAAGGGCCAATCCGGAACGAAGAAGTTCCTCTAATTGATCCAGGTCTACGTTATGGTCACTCTAAAATAAAAGATGCATATAGCTGGATTAGACAAGTCTGCTTGTACTTTGACGAGCATTTTTAGGTCCGACTTTATAGGAAACATTTGTCACTAGTAACTTTAATTGTAAAAATAATAGTACGATACGTAACACATTGAATATATCGTGAGTCGCCCACACGTACGAGTCAACATAAGACTGTTTGCAATGTGTTTAGAAATCGTGCTTTATCCACTTACCTTAAGTAGCTCGATGAGCTCATCAGCTAGAGGCATTAAATACTTCATTCTCTCCCGATAGTTAAGCCTTTGCAACCGTCGGAGAGCTTCAGGCATACCAATTGAATCCTCTTTCACGGTATCAGGGTCCACAAGATCCTTTGATGGGGGACCAACACAACTGGCAACCCTGTGTATATGTTTGCACATCTTGTCCAGAAGCATATACGCCTTACAAGTGCACCCGTACCTATAAAAAATATCCAGTATGCAAATCGAAACACTTTCTTCCGACCCTATCTCCACAACGTCGTTTAATTTTTTTCTATTCTAAACAAGTCCTCGTAGTCACCTCTTTTTAGGCTTAGCACGAAGCACTTACCCTTATTAGAAGTCTAAGCGGAATGGGTTTTGGTAGATTTATATGGACTTCTTCAACAGACCTATGAAAGCTGCGTGGCAATAATACAAACGGCCATTTAACTTCACACTTTATTACTTAATACATAAATGTCTGGTAATCTTTTTTGCCAGCAATAAGGCTTGGCTAACCCCCGGAGTTATGAAATATATGCCAAAACTGTACCGTAATATTTAGGATGCCCTATGGTTATGTGTTCAATATATACAAAATTAAATACAATTATTTATTTGTTTGAGGGGCTAAACGAGTAATACTATTGCTAATGTTCTCAAAAGTGCGAATTAATTGTAAGCAAAATAGAGCTAAATAACATAAGCGACGATTAAATTAAATTTATATAAGATGATGAATGTCTTCCCGAGAAACCTACCTGTGTACGCAGACCTGGCACCGTTCACAGATCAGCTCACATTTCTCATGCGCAGCCTTTCTGGGAAATACAACATGGGTGATTTCACCTCCACGCGCACGAACACCTGGGGCCGCTTCTTTTTTTTTTCGAGGATATACTCGAGACAAAACGTAGTAGCATCCCGAATTTTTCTCTAGCATGACATCCTGAGCCAACACCTATATATCGTGTTATGTCAAATACGTCATAAAAGATTGTATTATATCTATAAAATTGTTTTGCTTAATCCAGTGTAGTTCATTATAACGCACTGACACAAGTGTACGACAGAAGGTCTCACAGTCGGAAAGCGTTCCAATCAAAAGACCTGAAACATGAATGATCAAGGTATGAACCTTGACACATCTATTGTACTGACGTGTTTTTCGTGCATTATACACACTTACGCAACTATCTAAGATCGAATGATAAACAATCCATATGCAACTCACCACCCGATTATCGTGCTGATTGCATCCGTGATATTTATTATCAACATCTTCTTCGTCGTCCTGCTCCTCGTTGTCGTCCTCTTGCTCCGAATTTTGCGTATCTCCTTCGCCATAGTCAGTCGGTCGTCGCTTATGACGGCCTTGTTGCAGCCTTTCTGTCCTTATCCGAGTGCCGTCGTCGTCTGCTTCGGCTAGACCATCTTTGGCGTCGTCCGTTTCGTCCAGTGGTTCCTCAGCGGACATCTCCTCATCGCTCCGAAGCTCCTCTTCTTCACCATCGTCGACATCCCTATAATGGATTTCGTCTCCGTCACCCCGACCACCGTCTCGCATCGCTTTTCGTTGAAATCTCCGTTTCTGCCCAATTGTACTTTGTCTATCAAGTCCGTCACGAATCATTTTTGCCAGCGCTACCCGTATCTGGTCTATATTGCCGTACTCATAATGATGAATCTATTCATAGCCGACAATACACGACAATGTTAGTAGGTGAGACGGTTGGAAACATATTGATGCATGAGAAAAGCAGTTAAAACAATTAAAAAAGCAGTCAAGTATAAAAACATTAAAAACAATTTGATGTTTACTGAGATCTAATTGTCCGAATTATAAACACACAGATAAAACTATATTTATATATGTTTATATTTATAGACATATTTGAAATTTTGCTTTCAGAAATTCATTTAAAATTTCGATTCAACAATCTGACTGTAAAAACTTACCTTCACGTCTATATCCTTAGGTTTTCCATCAAATTTCTTGAATACGTTGAATATCTGCTGTTGCGTTAAACAATTTAACCGAGTAAGGGGTCCCCCAAGGTAAAGCTTTGCACCTTGTGCGATTAGAGAATTTACTTTATGACCCTTGTCAATCATTTCTTGCATCCATTGCCGTTGTTCGGGTGTAAACCTGTAGAAAGCAAAGCGTGGTTCAATGTGAAGTGTCGTACGCATCATATAGAGCGGCAACATTGGACTTTATAAGCCTACTTAACATCATCTAAGCGTACCTTAATACCGGCTTGAGCAGGCTTTGCGTTGTGGCTATAACATTAAATTGAATGAACATTAATCTGCCCTCGAAATGGAAATTGTTTTGCAAGTCTGTCTACGAAATATGTTAGTAATTATGAAATATATATTATTCCAGTGACAAGTTCCCCATCATTTGACAATCTTAAAAAGATATTAAAAATGTTTACGTCCGTTAGTACCGTTAAGCACTCCTTTAAACGGCTGACTTCTTGCATGCGACAAAGTGGATCCGCGCTTCGTTTTGAAGCTAGACTATTCCACGTTTCGCTAAGCTTGTTAGGCAGATAGATTATTACAAAATTACTACGGGGACTTTTGGACAACGATTCGCCTTGCACTGCAGAACATACCGAAGATCAATAATGCTAGGTGTGTGTCCAATGTGGGTGCGCCAATAGGTGACTGTGATACGGCCACTGGTTTCACCGACAATCATTGTTGCGGGACACTCCACACCGACTCTTCGTAGGCGGGCACCCTCTTTTTCGGCATGAGTGCTTCCTGTTCGACAACAATCATACCATCCCTGCCGACAAAAAGAAGCAAATCATCAGAAAGGTACTTTTTAACTCTTACAAAGCCACGACTGCTAGAGGCAGGTAGTGCATTCAAGTCCACCGTTAGATATGTTTACTAAGCTTTATTTACAAGCTTTTTGGTTATTCGGTCTTTTTTTTTGACAAGAGTAAAGCTTCAACATGTTTACCTTTACGCCCTTATTTCCGTAGGGCTTCCGGCGACAGCGAAACGATGACAGTGTTTCTTGTTCCGTGCGTAGCTTCCACGTTCGAAAATCGTCAGCAGTCTCAAATTCGTGTCTAATAAAATTATACAAGATCAAAAAAGTAATGTATGTATCATAATAATGATAATAATTTCAATAATAGACAGAAGACAAACGTAGCTTAAAAATTTCACTGAGCAGTCGATTATTATGTAATTCAGTTTTGCTTTTTCCTTCTACTCACTCTGTACATTCAATACGGGTATCATGTTCGTCAACGATATGTCGTACAAGAGCTGAATGGGTGCCCTGATCTTCGCGGCAGAGAGGACAAAGTTTCTCTGCTACCCTGGCATATTTGCATCGCTTACCCCGGACGTGCATTTGCATGTGAAGGACGACGCTGGCACGCTGGGTGTACATTCGGTCACACGATTCTACAGGGCAATGATACACTACAAGGAGAAGGAAACAGAATATAGGAAAACATGGCTGAAGATATCGCGCAACTGCATTGTACGCTTGGATGCAGCTCCTTAATCAACCACATTTGGAATGGCTGACCGATTAGCAGTAGCTAAAAGAAGAACCCGAGGACGCTAATCCGGCGTTAACATGAAATGGGTTCTTCAACAGAAAGCACTGCGACTAAATAAGCATTCATGTAAATCTTAATGATTTTTCTTTATAAAAAAACGCAATTGTATTATGCAAACGTATGAACTCAAAATGTAATATCTAAATATTAAGAGTTTTGAATTCCAAAGCACTAAAGCCTTTAAACTTCAAAATCTTGAGATCGATGTGCCGATTAGAAAGAGTGTCTAACAAGGGTACTGTCGTACATGACGTTGCGTGTACTTCGGGAATATTGCACCACATATTGTGTCGATGCCGTAAAACTAGATAAGTGAAAACCCAGTATCGGATAAAAGACAGAGTGAAGCCCATGCAAAACGTGTATGTCGGTTTGTTTTTCGCTCCCTTCAGGGTTTTATTGAGCACTACTGTCGTGTCATAAATATCTCAATCGATCTCTGTCATTTATCTCTCCCAGGTGCTAATGAATTCCAAATAGGTAGGGGTAGGGAGAAGTTTGAACGTCTCAGGTATACTACTAATAGCGATTTAACTCTAGAAGATACACGTGTCTTGTTGACAATGGGTAATGCAATGCCCTTTAAAAACGCAGGCTTGAATTGCGTTGGAAAAAGGTGTTGGAAAAAACGGATGGATCTTTCATTCCAACCAACTTACAAAGTTTTAAGTGTATTCGAATTGCCAAAATCACAACCATCACTTGTTGTACCCTATCCGCGACATTATTTGCGCAAATTCGGCTTTTTGAAGGCAGTATTACCTTTAGGTTCACCGAACTCTAGGACTGTTTTGCTTTGTGTCGGAATTTATAAGGCAGTGTCCACAGCGGAACTCTATGACCTCTGTCATATTCATGTTGATCAATAGTCCAGTCTTTTTCATTCTTAGTAAGGTATTATTCCAGTTTACTTATAGATGCTCCCACGTTATAAGCAAGTATTTAATACTTTTGTCTACCATTGTAACATGTCAGCCGCCTTGTTTGATTCTAGTTGTTCCAGAGACAGCAAAACCTCAATCACAGAGAAGTCAATCCCTAGTGCAAAGACGTTGTTGATCCTGCATACCATCGTGTGAAGGCATCATTTATGGAATGGTGCCGGTCGCCGAGTACGTACTTCTGAAGTATTCTATTAGAACTGTAAAGTTAATAGGGCACGTAGCCAACCTCCCATTCCTTTCGCTTACTGTTTGTCTTACTAACTTGTCTTTTTGTAACGCAAAGCATTGCCGACGGGTTGACTCAATTCAAACTTGTTAATGCAAACTTTGCAAAAAGTCACAGAACCGTCTCACAGCCAAGTTACACTTAGCCAATTCCCGTGTCTGGAGGCGCAAAGTAACAGCGGCTAGAAACATACGTAAACGCAATAAGTTCTAATATGTGACTTGCATCTTACCTATTTTTCCGTTAACCTCGACGCCCTTTGCTGTTCGAGCGATTTCGGCGCAATTTTCCGCTGTGATTTTCACTCTGAAGCAACGACAAGCAAAGACATAGAGATTTAATATAACAATTCGCAATTGGTAACCATGAAACGCATAAGACTATTCGCTAACGAGTGGATTGAATAATAAAATAGAAATTGATTCATATATAATCACAAAACTAATAACAGTTTTTTATAAAATTTCTTTCTGAATGTATTTAGCATTGTATCGACAATTATGCATTAATACTAAACACTCGAATAATTGCTATAGCGGATGCTTCATATTTGGTACAGCAGTGCAGTGTTGCAGATTGGACGTCTACTATTTGAAAATAATGTATTACAGAACGATGTATTGCTATAGATATTAACGAAACGTATTGAAATATCTGATTTACATACTCTTTCATTTCGTTCTTCTCCGCGTCCCACATCTTAATAAAGGTATCAAACTCCTCAAGTACAGGATCTTTTGTCACATAGCGAGGACCCAGCGTAATACTGGCCACCTGTCGGATAGAAATACCAAGAACATATATGGTATTATATTGCAACAAAAAAACATCGAAACTTTTATTCTCAGTCGACGTTTTTAATTCCTGTTATATTCAAAAACCTTGGCTGCAAGTTGCCATTTGAAAAAAAAACGGTAAAAAACGGTCGTTGTAATTTCGGCATGCACCTGTTCAAACGTTGGCGGAGGTAAGTGGTGTGGATATGGAGGATATGGCATCATAGGTCGTAATTCCGGCATCACTGGTTCTGGGAAATGATTGTGCATGTATCGCCTGAAGCACAAAGTTGCAATTCTACATAAGTACAATAACTTCCGATCTTCGAAAGGATTCAATGCGCCTATGTTGCTCTGTTTCATTATTGGTAATCACCTCCTCGTATTCAATTGTAGTTACCTTCTTATGAACGTTCCATCATCTTTAAGAGTAGCCATTGCTTTGCAAGGGCTCGGTTTCTTCTTGTAGTGACTACAGATGTATTGCCGATCCCCAGGCTTCTGTCGACGCATATAAAATGGACCGACTCCGCGGACCATACCTACTCCATCCACTAAATACAATAATATGGGGGAAAAGTCATAATTAAAAATCATAGTGTAAACACTTCAGTGTGGCATTCTTTTCTTGATCACCGATAACCCACCATGTGGAAATTTATGGTTAGTTTCAAACCGCTTCCAGAGGCACCTTTCTTGATTTAAAATGCTTACCTTGTTCAACTTGGTATGGGCCAAAAGCATCACACCACCAATTAGTACTTTTGTTAGAACCTCCTGATGTCCAACGTTGGGCCGGGTAAAAGTACGCGGTGAGGACTTGAGGCTCTTCTGGGGGCGGTACCTGAAGCGCAACTGAATTTGGTGAATGAGCAACGTGATTATGTAACATGGCCAATGGTTCCGATAACGAAGAAGTAGCGGACGAAGTATTGGCCTGAAGGCCCGACCCGCCACTCGGCGCAGCCGGCGCCGGCAAAGAAACCCCTCCAACAACAGAGGAAGTCGACATTCCTCCGACTGGGCCAGATGCCATGGATTCGGGTCCAGGACCTGTTGGCAGGCTCAGAGCAGCACAGTTGGTGGCGCCATGAGAAATAGGGAGTCCTCCGACAGCAGACAACGACGCACTGCTCTGAAGCGTCACAGGAGCTCCACTTTGAACAGCGAGTGAATGTGTTGGAGTAGGGGGCGGTCCCGGTGTCGGCATATCACTAGGGAATAGGGAGCCTAGTGGCCAAAATGGTGAAAATGACGAAGACATGTTTGGTGCTTAAGTTGCTAAAAGGAGGCAAAAGAACAAACAATTAAACACAACAATTATATAAATACTTGTGCAATTTAGCAGCAAAATTAGTTTGTCTAAATCCTCATTTGTAGGTTCACAAACGGAAGATTCACATAGTTTTAGGAAATATCTTGTTAAATGTAGCTTACAGTGCTGGTAATAATTATTCCGTATATTTTTAATAGAATAACCAAAGGCACTCTCAAGGGCATAGTAAAATTCGTGCACGCAAGCTAATTTAATCTTTATTTACAAGACACTCCTCAAGTCGACTGAACGTAGTGGCTCAAAGGTTTTGTGCCCTTTAGTTTGTCCCATTCGAGTAAGTTTCATAGAGTAATGCTTTTTCGAGTAGACTAGATTCCTATTTCTTAACATGGTTCTTATTCTGAAACGTAAACACAACACACTTCTGAATAACGAAAAACTTTCATTTAAAAAATAATTAACAGTATCAAATCAACGGTTTTAAGCAGTAGCTTATGCACGCTTAGCCACTTACTACCGCCAGCGCCAGATTTGTTAATGGGCTTGAAATACGCTGTTATCTGTTTGTAACGTCGTTGGGGAAATTATTGATAAAAATCTGCTTCCAAATCTGTGTCATCGGCATCTAATTGTGCATTTCTGACTATATATTATAAGATTTCAGCACTCTCTTGGGCACCCATCCAAAATAAGCCAACATGACGTGGCGTCAACACAAAACTCATTCAGCCATATGAGGAACCACCGCTTAAAGTAAAAATGTACCAAAATAACGTAAAAAAGGTTTTCCATTTTTGAATAAAATATATACAAACGAAAGACGATAAATAAAATCCAAAGGAGAATATTTAAAATCCCTTTTCTTGGGCAATCCTCGGCCCGGAGTGCCTCATAGCTTAAAGTTTCTTTCGACAGAACTACGACACCCATGAGTTGCACGCAGATGGCCTGTTATCTGACCCACTCAACTTATTGTACATTCTTTCAAGGTTTAAACGCTTGATTTATGTACAGCTGATATCAGTTTCGCTAGTACTGGCTACTACACAAAGGAAAACCTTTGTATTAAAAAGGACAGCTTTTCTTAGGAGAATAAACTCAAGCAGATCGACAGTATTGTCCAAGTTAATTTTCACTTATTTCCTTCGTAATGAATTTGGATTAGTGTTTTTTTGGTTTCTTTTTGAGGTTTTTATGACTATTTTTTATAAACTTTCTTTTACAGTTGGTTGATATACTTTTTAGCTGAGATATATGGTCCCAAACCAAGTCAAATTTTCTGAATGTATACAATGTCTGTCGAGTTCATCTCCATCCGCAAATACATAAATCGACACTACTTGCTTGGTTATGCAGATAGACCCTTTTTTTTATCTTGATAAACAATTCCTATACAATTTGAGATGTGCCTAATAAGTGGCGATTATTAGAAAAAAATGCTAGTATGCAAGCATAAACCAAGAGTAGTAGCATTAAGAGTCGAAAATCGAACATTGGAACTCCAATGTATTTTGCTTCTGACTAATATTGCGACAAATTATTTTTACATTTCTACTTTTTTGGTTTATGAACCTAATCGTGAAGCCGAAGTTCTTATAGTACGTTACAGAGTAGCCACCCCGCGTCTTCTGGTTTCACTCTCACCGCGCGTTTTCCACTGCCTCGCTCATTTACTTATCTGACATATTGCACAAATGCTTAGCAGACATACACACACTGCTCCGAGTACAAGCACTCCACGCGCGAACAAAACACCTAGTACAAATATAGCAACACCAAATAGCCACGTAACATGGAGATTAGGGAATTTTCATTAATTGTGCCTATAGGAACATCGTTTTAGCTGCAACTACCACAAACGGTGCCATCGATTAAATTACTGTGCCCACAACAACAATAACCACAACAGTCTGATAACTTCTATGACTGTTGTTTGTTGTGGCTGGCTCCTTTCTATGATTGCGGATCCGATCCACGATCGTTCCGTAATGATCAATAATAACCCATAGCCTGGTTGACGACTGCCTGACAGTGTTGTCGATGGATACGATTGTTTGGCCGCCTGCGCCCATGAACTCCTTCCTACCGCTTCTCAAACATCAATATCACATAGCACTCTGCTATAATTGCTCTCTGTCAATAGTCAGCAGACGAAACCCATAAATACTAAATAAAGACTGCGAGAATAAGCGCGTAGACTAAAACATGAGAATAAATCAAGAAATGATTAGCACATACATGTAAATAAACAAAGCTATTTTTTTAGACTGAAAAAACAGCAATTCACAGCGAAGATAAACATTATGATTTACTTAAGTATGACAATTTGAACCTTAATTTATAACCATCGGTCGATAATAGAAGGAACAACCAATGCGAGAACGGAAAAAGAATCCTAAACAGGAATCAGTTTTTTGTTGCTGTGTCTGATTTGCTGGCTGTCGGCAGGTATTTTTCAACCCAGCTGACGTTATATTTGACTACGGGTGGTTGTTCGCGGTTCATTGAGTTGATTTGAGGTCAAATAGTTCTTGTTTTATTTGTGACTGCTGTACACTTCTACTTTGACAAGACTTGGACTGATTTTAGAGATGGCCGACAACAGGCCCAAACCTAAGTACGGCTTCAATTTTTAGTACAAATATGATGCTGCAATGAAATATAACGTATGTATTACTGTCTTACATAGTTTTTGGATATTGTGACGAATTAATGACATCGACGTCAAACAGGTTGCTATTCTAGTGATATGAAAAGTTGCAAGCTCTATAAAAACATTTACCTTTACCGTAAGTCTTTGGAGACATCCGGAAATACAAACAAATTACAAATAAAATTTTAACACTGTGTAGTCTAGATATACAACATAAAGGGTACTTTTTTAAAAAGGAACATGTGGCGCCCATTGTCGTGTATAAGCAAGGTTATAGAAACTGTCCATCCTAAGAAAAAATATTTTCAGTTTCAGTGTTGTTACTTGATTTCATAGTCCTGGTTTTTCGTATTTCCGGGCCGTCTAGCATGTAAGATGTGAATGTTCGGAATTTTGGATTTTTTTTTTGGAACATATTGTGCTCAAGTGGGATAAAAAGTGTCTCTTTCCAAAATCATTTGAAGTGAGTTTAACATTTTCACAAGAATAGTCTACCTTTAACGGTGCTTTTAAACGTACTCCACCAAACAAAGCCACAGTTACTTGACCGAAGGCGAGTCGCTCACAGCTTGTAAAGCTTAGTTTTACAAGCGCATGATTTTAATAAGTGTTTTTGTCTTGTGCGATTATTAGTGGCTCGACAAAGCTTGCTGTTACAGAGGGAGCAACGGTGGTACGCGAGTGTGTTCTCGCTGGAGAAGTGTCCTTTGGTAAGCTAAAAAAAACTATTTTTATGACAGTGAGACATTTATTCCTTGTTGTACAAGCTTCCATGCAAGGTAGTGCTTTTATGGGATTCAATATGATTGCAGGCACTCGTACGGTGGTTCACCCCACAGCACAGATTCTTGCCGAGAAAGGCCCGATCATCATTGGAGAGGGTAATTTGATTGAGGAAAAGGTGAAAATAGTAAATAAGTAAGCAATCAAGAAAAAGTCGTGGTTCGCTTTAAAAATCCGTCTGCACCATAGAACTTATATATATATATATATATAATAAGTGAAGTTCAAAAATGTTTTTCATACGAAGCTCTAACATTTCGCACGTTAATAATCATCACCTATATTACAGCTCTGAGGAGCCGCTGATCATTGGCAATCACAATGTTTTTGAAGTTGGAGCAGGTTAGTCATGTACAAAAATATTATTGTCGGGTACAATGAGCAATATGGACCTATAGTATTATTATGATTATTATGGGAATCATAGAAACGAAACTTATTTAAACATTGCGAAACAAAATCGGTGCTCAAAGAAATAGTTAAATAATACAACAAAGTAGTATCGTTATCGTAAAACAGTTGATTCCATATGGCTTGCATAGTTATGTGAAAAACGTTTATAAGTACACAAACGCGTAACGCTACCAAACCGCACGAATTTTGTACGACAATGTTTGCAGTAGTTCAAGCGCGATCCGTGGGTGACCACAACACATTCGAATGCCTCTCACTAGTTGGTCCGAGAGTCGCCGTAGGAAATGGATGCACCGTGGGAGCTGGCTGTCACATTAGTACGGAAGAAACTCTTGGAGACGACATAGTTGTTTACGGTGCCAATTGCGATCGGAAGCGAGCTTTTGATGTTAACAAGGTACATGGCCGTCCCAGCGTACAGGATTATTCATCTCCATAAATATCGTTTTGCAAAAAAAAGTATTTTCTTGTCGATAGGTGTAATTTTTATTTATGCTCTCATGTATGCTCTTGATCGCAACAGTTGTTCTGCATGATGTGATAATCTTAGACTTCTAAATAATAATTAGTTAATAATAATAGTTAGACTATAAAATGAGTACAATAATTGTTCGGATGCTGAGTAGGAAATCTTTCTGCAGTATATATAAAGATGCATCAATCAGCTTAGTAAAAATGTCTTAAATTGAATTTAGTCAGAAAGCCGTTCTTTTGTTCTAACTGTTTTTGAAAGATCTGGTTTCACCGACTAGATGTTACGATTTGATACATGCATGATACAGGAGTTAACCTCAATACATCTAATCAACAACGGCGACTTTATAACTAACTAATTAGACCTGCGGGAATTTTTCAGGCATCAAACCCCCAAATCGATTTCCTTTTGAAAGTAATGGTCAATTATCACCACGTGCATAAACCCAATCGGACGAAAGATGGCCAAATGATCGAAGCAAAGTAAGGCTATATGCTACAACAAAACCAACAAACAGTGCTATTCATTCATAGTACATCAAACGCTTCGGATACAGCTAGCGTCTTTATTTATAAAAATTAATATTGTTTATATAATTTTTATCATTGCATTTGTCCTAAATATATTGTCTGTGAGTTCTCATATTAGAAGCAAGGCTGCAATTACATTTTTCTGTTCATATATCGTATTAAAATGCTTAAGGTAATAAATATCGAATAGAGATATATACTTTGTTCAACTTGCTTTTAAACATGATCACTGTACATATATATATATATATATGTCAAGCTCAACAGGGTCTTCTTTCCCGCCGTTCAGTCCAAGACCATTTTATCGACTATGGTTTCACTAGACAGTAGATAGCGACAGTGGTAATCTTGTTATTCCATTCACGCGCATTACTAATTATGTGACGAGGCATTTGGCTACCATAGTTATTCGGCTGTTTACCCGCGAATCTCTTCTTTAAGAATTTCTTCACTTTGACATTAAGAGCACTAGGCAGAGATCACATTGTGTGGCTGTAGAGGTAAATACTGGATTAGTACGAAAGAAATGCCGTATGTTGTTTAAACAAACGGTAAGTGTTTAAAACTAACTTTAGGAATGGCGTAAACCCTGTTGCTTTCAATGAAGTTTGCTGCTTCAAAGATGAGCTCCCATGCTAGATCGGCATGGAGTCCACAAAAAATTTAGTTTTTACATTTAGTGCTTTCTTGCCTTTTTGCCTAATATAGATTTAAGCTATTACAACTTTGGCGGGATGACACTGCAATGTCCATTCAGATCACAGTAGTTCTATTCATTCAAAACATTTTCAACAGTTCTCTCTGAGCTCTCTAAGCATAATTGCTCTAAAAAACCTGCATCTTTAAGCTTGATTATAATTCTCATTTTTAATTATAATCACCCAAAATAAATCTTAGGTAGTCATCTTGATTTACATGTATTTTACGTATGTAGCATGACTTTTTTTGGTGACGAAAGCCATTAATAATTATAATATATTATCAATGGTTTTTATCGTCGATGAGCATTAAATTTTAGTATTGTTAGAATATGAAAATGGCTTTGACGTACAAAACGGTGTCATTTGCGACTATAAACGACACAATTCTTGCGAGCTTCATATGTTACACAGCCAGACTTATATTATAACAGGAGTTACAGGTATTGTTTTCGTTAAATATATTTTATCGTTAGGTGCCAAGCACATACAAAATTTGAATGCATGAAAATATTTGATTTGAGCAGTGTAATATATAAAATTTAAGGCGAGGTAGCATTTTGTCTTAGCCTTCATTAGTTTTTGTCCATTTTTAACACGAACTGAATACGAACACAAAATAGATGACCTGTGTTATTAGAAATTGCTTCTTCCTCCTTTTAGGTATTCTCAACATTTACAAACCAATTGTCTTTTAACATCAACTGTCATCACAAATCTACAAATATCTTCAAACTCAAGGAATGGTAGAGCATATTAAACTAAATTACAACAAATTCATTTAACACGGCTATTTCCAGTAGCAGGTAAAAACGTCTTCGTTTTTTTTAATTATCTTACGCTATTGGATTATTCTTCATTAGTTCTAGGTCTGCGTCGACCATTTCGTTCACGAGCTGGTCGAACGATACTTTCGGTGACCATCCCATCTTTGTTTTGGCCTTTGTTGCATCGCCGACTAGAAGATCCTATAAATAGATAAATAAAGGAGTCGAATGTGGTGTGAGTAAATGAATTTAACAAGACCTTTTAGCGCATATCAATTGCGGTTTAGAAGATCCGAAGACGGTGTAACTGTGCGAACGGTTCGTCAGCAATTACCTTCAAAATTCTTGATAAAGTGGTATTTAGTGTTCAGTACGTAATACAACATGACGAATACTAGGTGAGTTACTGGAACCTTGCATTACATCCATCTTTGAGCATAATTCTCTCATGGAAAGACTAATCAAAACCATTTATAAAGAATGCGTTCACGTGATTCCTCCATGGTTTGAAATTATCTCGTCGTCTATAATTCTCTTGAAGAATGAAAGTATTAGATCCTGGGCTATAGGCGACGATAGTATTCCATAAAGAAGATCCCAAAGTGATCTGGCATTGAAGCCTTCTTTAGAACGTCGCTTGTCTTGTTTAGCTTTCAGCTATGTCAGGGCCGATGTTTTCCTGGAAGCGAAAATGAGAGCTATGTCCTGTACTCATGTGTTAGGTGATACATTCTACGGGACTGGATACACCGTGAGCTCATATAGCCAAGTAATCCTAACGTATTTTCCCCGCTCAGGATACAGGTTAGTATATATGCGATAGATTGCCCTTGGAAAAACGAGTTTAATAGGTACCCTAATAAAACCTTCATAACCGTAAGAATAAGGGTCTGCCCCCATAAAATAGTTGTTGGCAATGTCGGTGTAACCAACATTTACGTGTTCCTTCTGTCCAACTCTTTCATATGTCGATTGCACTGAGAAAATATAGTTCTCAGGCTCTATAATGAATTCCGGATATGGGCGGTCTTTCGGCCAACCACCAGAAGCTGTTTATTGCAGTACAGAAGTTCTGAAGAGTTTTACACAATTTGGTTATGAAGAGCAGATCATATGTGGTGCTTTTTATCTATATCCCGGGTCTTAAAAGGGACCAATAGGCCACTACTGCGAAGTATCTCTTTACTATAAGCGAGTCGACGGTAATCGGAAACGTTATTTATGATTCTTACAGTACAAACCAACTTTCATTCAAAATCATGACATACTTTAGGCAAAAATTGACGAGAGCTTTATGTAATTCTCCGTCCGTTGTGGAGACTTTGAATATTAAAGAGGTTGAGATTAAATCGTTGTAAAGTTTTTGGACTTCTATGGGCTGTAGAAAAAGAAAATGTCGGCCTAAGGAAAAATTCAATGAGAAATCACGACAGTCTAGGCTTAGTAAGGGCTACGATTTTGTAGAGTCTATTCAACACGCTTCAGTATCCATACCACTTCAGCAGGCCGGTAATATTTCGGGTTGACTTTGACTCGAACAATGTTCGTGCCCTTTTCTACGCCCTCCTCTTTGACGCCCTTGCCACGCCACCCGATGGCCCTTCCGGTTCGGGCGAATGCCTTCTCGACGAACTCGCGCACTGAATGTTTTTCACCTGTCGCTACAACGAAATCTTCTGGTGTGTCACGCTGAAGCATCAGCCACATTGCTTCAACATAATCCCTGTAACGTAAATAGGCACCAGGTAAGACATTTTGAAAATATATTAGTATCTTTAAATGCAGACCTAGAAATTAGATCACGCTAACCACAGCGAAACATTACTAAAATCCACATAAAAATTTCACAAAATTGACTAGTTTGTCTCGAAACCGACTGAATTCTTCGTTGACCACAAGCCGATAAAGTCATCAAAATAAAAAAAAAATTCGAGCAAAGTAACTATTTCACTTTGCTAGTAATCGTTAATATATTCTATTTTGCTATTGATTTTCCGCTTTACTCTGGTGAGATTTGCTCTGTGATCGTACCACTGAAAAGTGATAATTTCTCGTTTTCAATGGAATAATTTGTTACCTAGCGTGTCCCCAGTCTCTTTCGGAGTCGAGATTGCCCAATTCGAAGTACTCCAGTTGACCAAGATGAATCTTGGCCACGGAACGTGAGATCTTCCGAGTGACGAATGTCTCACCCCGTCTCGGACTTTCGTGATTAAACAGAATCCCATTCGTAGCGAACATCCCATACGCTTCCCGGTAATTTACCGTAATCCAGTAAGCATACAGCTTAGCACAACCTATTGGTATGATAAATGGGAAAACCAGCAGTGATAATATGGGCAAACTGTTGTCAATCAACGTTCTCTAGACGTTACATTCTAGGCGCACTCTCAAGTCTATTTTATAATAGCCATTGCGTTAATAGTTATAGAAGAAACGGTATTCCAATACCACAACTAGGCAAGATAAAGAATCCGCTTTAGTGGCTTGTAGTCTGAAGACATATCCCCAAGCATTATTCAAAAATGTCCGATAACTGTTGATGAAGCTGGTCCCCTTTTGCAATAAAAGTGACACGGCGGGGCTTCCTGTGTTTTCGTTGTATGTTTAGCAAGCGAAAATCAATAAATAGTAATGATCGTTTAAGTGCATAGCTATCAATGTATTCAGTTTTGTCAATGTATGTATTTGAATATTGATGAAAAATTCGATTGCTTATATACACGTAAGCACAAACCATAGGGCGAACGAGGGTAGAAAGGTGTTGTCTCTTTTTGTGGGATTTCCATAACCTTGCCATAGAGCTCTGACGTCGACGCTTGGTAGAAACGAACAGTTTTGTCCAATTCACAAATTCGAATTGCTTCGAGGAGCCGCAACGTACCTATGGCATCGACGTCTGCGGTGTACTCCGATAACTCGAACGACACCTGAAATAGGTGAAAATAAGTGTTATGTTTGAGAAGGATGGCTTCACCTAGTCCATCAAGTCTTCTCTTTTGCATAGCCCTGTTTACTCGTCGAAACTGAGTCGTATATAAATAAATGTTTCCTCTTCAAGTCAAAATTTTCTTTAGATGGAGATTTGGCTTAACTCTGGACTTAGGCGTATGTCCTGGAGTTATCCATTGTCTGATTCACGCAGACGCAGAGACATTACTGCAAGTTGCTTGTAATCTGTGTAACTGCTTGTTGCACAATGAAATGTTGAGAAATAATAGAAAGCCGGGTTTTTTTGCTTAGATTTAGATGGATCCAGACTCCTAATATGTAGTGAAATTGTATCGCGTATTTTTGAAACCTGGCAGTAACGAGATCTTCGCAACTCATTGTCCAATTAATAAGTAGTCTTCGGCCGTTGTTCCTTAAAAATTCCTTCAAACGGTCTCCGTTAATCTCATATAGTCGACAAGAGGTATAAAACGATATATTCACCAAGTCGAAAATTTTGCAAACCATCTTGGAGCAGTACTTCGAAATTCTCATCACATATGGACAAAAACTTCGGGATGTTCCGATACATTTTTTAACCTAGGAAAAGGTTAGGTAAGATAGTGGCAAAATAGAAGTGTCTTCGACGCGACCAAGAAGCATTTGAAGAACTGAAAACGCTTTTGAATTGTATAGAGAAATAAACAAACAGTTAATAGAATAAGAGCGAGAATATCTGAAACGAGACACTATCTTTTATACATCAACTTAATAATTAAAAAATGATAGTATATTATATAGAATATTAAAGCACCAATATTGGGTTTAGGGTACCACAGGGTAATACTGGTGATTGGCACACATTTACTGTGCCTTTACGTACCTTTACATGAGATTGCGCTCCTAGGTTATAGATTTCTGTAGGTTGGATTTCCCGAATCAACTTGATCAAACTTAGGCTATCTAGAAGGTCGCCATAGTGAAGCTTCATTGCTGTAAAAAAACATAAACGTGCTAATTAAAGTTCATACGGACGTTTCCATCATGGCCGTCATCGTATAAAACGTTATACTAACTATTTAAATGATCATTAAGCATTTCTTATGAGCGTAAATATCTTAGACATCTCTCAGATATAAATATCTCAATTTTGTATTAGTTGAGCAGATTCTTAACGTGCTTACTGTTCATTCTTCAATTCGGATTTTTGTATATGTCTGTGCTTGATGAGTGAAAATTACTAACACTAAATTACTAACAGCTTTTTTGGTGAATCTGGGGATTTTCATAAAGGTGATGAATCCTGCCAGTGTTGAAGGAGCTCGATCGTCTTCGAATACCATGAACTTCATAGCCCTTCTCCAGAAGAAATTCTGCCAGATATGAGCCATCCTACAATAGTAAACATTTATATATTGATAAAGAATTAGTTGCGTTGGTTATAACGCTTGAAACTTTATTTAGCCATATCTTTAGCATTGATGAAGCTATATATATATGCATGTCTATCAATACATAGTATGACGTAGGGTGTCATTTGATGGTAGATTGATTAAGTAATTAAATTTTTTCTAAACTATTCTCAACTATTCAATTAATTCATTCATGTTTGCAGTACAAAACGTCCTGTAAATCATGTCGGTCGCTTTTTGCTCAGTTTTGCTAGTTAACATCGTTTCATTATAATTTTATGACTGCTTTGATATTATACAATATGTAGGTGTCATGCTTTTTGCGTCAGGAACCCAGATTTCTTTCAATTTAATGGATGGCATAATCTTGTATCTTGAATTCCTGCAGTGTCACCTTTCCTACGTCCCATTCCGTATTACATCATACAATAGAGAGTTTTGTTAGTAATAAAAATACCTGTAAAGCTATTCTTAGTGAGAAACATAGAAAAATCAAAACATTTTACAAAAAAATGATGACGCTGCAGCAACAATGTTTAACGAACATAACGTATGAAATTTCGTACACATTTGGTTTTAAATGCATAAAAATGCTGTAGACGTTACATTTAATTCTGGATAACTTATTCTACTTTGTTTAGAGGCATTCTAGGGACTATGACAGGTGTGTCATCATAGTTTATTCCAAATGTGGTATCTTTGACCGAGTCATTTCGAGCGAATATTGACAGTTAACTAATAACAATGAAAGTAAATACTACACAATTTATGCAAATAAAGTTATTAATATTACTTTGCTTTATATATTGCTTTATATATATTATTAAATATTACTTTATTATATATATCACCACTTGGGCAACCTGAGCACAATAAATGTAATAAACACTTGGCTTCATGTTAAAAGCTGCCGTGAAGGACCACATTTAGTTTGATTTATCCATCCAAGCAATTTACTTCACAATAGCTAGGCCATGATCAATTTTGAAACAACAGTTTGAAAACCAATGGGTAATTATTTTGTATCTGTAACCTATGTAATCCATTTTTTAAACACTAGAGTCAGACAGCCACTTGACTGTTCGACGAGCTTACTTATTTTTTTTACTGAATTACCGTACTAATGGACATATAATATATGACGGCAGTAAAACCACAGAGCGAAATACATTACTGGAACACCTGCTGTCCATTATTTGGCATTCTGTCCCGAGAATTCGACGTGCTTGGCAATAACTTGGCCTGTCAAGAGACGACGTAGAGGTTACTCGTATGCATCATGTCGGCAAAAATTCCATCTCTATACTAGCTATGCAAAAGCTATAGATTTGAAAGTATAGGACTACAACATGAGTGACGTCTATATAAACTCACCGAGCTTTTAAACAGAACAAAGCACGTAGATGTATTTCGGTGATAGAATTTTTAAGCAAGCGATCATGCCATTGTTGGCATAAAAAATAGGCTTGCTTAATACATGTTTACTCGACAGACCAAAAACATGCGAAAGTAGTCAAGATGCTCAAAATGTAGTCAAATAACTACTTCATCTGTTTAGTGAATGCTATTGACATGAGCTGCACGACATATATGATTCAATCAAGGAAGCGTGAGATTGCTTAGTATTTGAAAAGTTATTTTTAAATTTAGACGCTAATTTGATAATAAATCATGGATAAGATAGGTAAAACCATTAAAAAAAGACAAAAAGGTGTTAATATGCCATGAACTCTGCGTGACATGATTATACTACAGAGAATTTAAGATAAATTTCTAACTGAATCAAAGTAAGTGAACATCCTATAATTATCCATAGAAATAACATGAAAATTCACACCATAGTTTATCTTAGTTTAATTTCGGATCGTTTTGTTGTTTTTTTTTTATAATTTGCTAGTTTTAGCAATAATAATTAATACAATTTTTATTTATTCACTTTTCTTTTTGGTTAATCAACGACAATTCAAATAGACAAAACACGCAAATGTGTATATGATACATACATGATTCGTTTTATACGTAATTTGTTACCGCTTCTGTGTTCAAAAATTTCACATCGTTTTTGCCCTAATTTTTTGCAGCATTCGTGGAAGGCTTCGGAGGCTAAAAGTTTGAAGCATTACACTTTAAACTTCTAGCCTCAAGCAACAAAATATTTAGGTTTCTTTTTGTGTGGTGTAGGTTTATTATGCGCTTCTGGTAAAGAGACTTTACCCGATTTCACGAACGTCACACCGACGCCATATTCGGGTCGTATGGGTAGGCCACAGCCTCAAATGAGGGAGCTTTCGGAGCCTCGATTATGCATACAACAGTAAGCGCTTTCCTGTATCTTTTGCGTTGTACAAAATGAATCTGTAGCCATTGGAAGAGATGATCAGCCCTAGATACGAAAACTTGATTATACGCACAAGGTTTAAATCGACAAAAAAAACAACGCGTCGTCAGTCCTTTCAAGACCCCTTTCTATGAATTTTACTGCTCTCACCTTAGGTAGCTTAACAACCAGTTCGAACTTTGCTGTTTTTTGAAGGTGTTGATAGGGTCTGCTAAACTTAGAATCTAGCAGCGTCTTAGATGACCAGATCATATCGTCCAGAATAATTTCAATGAGATTTTGCAGTCCTGTTCTCCCAAGGTATCTCTCTTATATGGTAGATATGTAACCACGCTGCTAACGCCAGCTATATACGTCGAGATATTTGAAAACCTAGTCGGCCATGAGAGTCTTGCATGCTTCTTCGATCGAATGCCTCTTTGAAGGCATCTGAAACCTCCTCGAAATACCTTCGTCAGTTTTAAATACGGAGATAAGCGTGTCCTACAACACAACCGGTTTCCTACAGCGCGACGGTCGAATGGTCAGGCCAGAGACAACAACGTATCTATATTAGGGCTTGCTGGAATTCAACAGGCTCCTAGAACGCGTTCCTGCAGTAAACTCAAGATTCAAAATACGAAAAAAAAAGTGCTGAGCAGCATTTCGACTTTAGTCATCATCTGCACGCTGGCCGCAACCAGCGAATACAGCCTTATTTGGGTTATTCCCGTCATCTAGTCAATAAAACATGAAACACGATCAGAGTTACCGGTGATACAGCCGGCGTATACCTTGAAGGGCCGCAGCCTTTAGAACGTACGTTATATAATATAGAAAGAATCATTGAGCTCCCGGTAATTCTGCTGCGTAATGTTGCTGCACTTTTCTTATCTTTCTTGATTTTTGCAGGCTATCTTGTCGAATTCTCCACCTCAATAGAGCTATAAACCAGCCCCATAATATCAAAGCATTGAGTGAGGAGCGGAATCATTTGTTTCCTTATAATAATAACGTTTATGAGTTATAACCAACTGATGATAGCATTTGTGGTTTTGTATTTTTGTGTAAATACTCTGATTTATATCAGACATAGTAGTGATATATCGCGTTCGCTGTGCTGTGCATACAACGATCATTGAGGATCCCTATGAGCAATAAAGGGCTTTGATCTATAAATGCTTCGACATCCATTGCTTTTATAAACATATAGGAATCTTAGCTGCAACAATGTTTTTTTTCCCCCATAAGAAAAAGTGTTGAACGGTTCTTATCCGTCATTCACTAAGAATGACGGTGAGACATGATTTTCTTTGGAATGAATTACGTCTATGCGTGTTTTGGTGCTATATGTGAGCTCTGCCTAAAACGTGAGATAAACCTAGTGATAAACGTGTGTTATCACTAGGCATACATATGTGCTGGCACAGATGAATTTAATTGAAAAAAACGTCCTATTATAATAAATGCATAAAAATGTGGGCATGCTTGTTCTCGAAAAGCACATATATAATGATATTAACGTTATTAATTCAAGAAGATATCATATATTTATCAGTATTTGTATTACTATTAACAGTATTATTATTACGACTCAACACCACTGACAGCATCAGCGAAAATATTTATTTTATATTAAGGCTAACGATGGCAATACTATCTAATTCTAGTAGCTACTACGAAACGCATAAAGAGAACCAGAAGTTCACCTTTCAAAACAACGTTTTTCAAAACTGCTTCATAGGCTTGTAATCAAAACAAAAAACGGACTACTAGGTGATATTATTTACTCAAAAATTAATGTGTTCCTTTTCATTTAACAATTTTTCTGTTGTTGTACCTGACCGGTGATGCCAGAAATCAGGGCCACTTTCCGCGCGTCAGCTGACATTTCTCGCACTCCTGAAACCGATAGAGCTTTTGAGTACGATAGTCGTCGGCTCTACGGGCGCTTTGCAGAACTCAGATTAGATGACGCCCAGGTAATGCTTGTCCTCTTCAACCCAGACATAGGCAATCGCGGTTGCAGCAGTAGCGGCTACTTTGCGGTCGCTACTCGGCGAGTAGTGGATTTCAAATTTCGCGCGCTTAACTGACAGTAATCTCCATTGGCGACGGAAGGGATAGATAGAGAAATCAAAGAGGTTATTTATTAAAACTTATTGGACCATGCTAATAAGGATGAGCGGAGAAAAAGTGCAAAAAGATATATGCCCAAGGAAATATAATCGAGAGATATACGTGAAGAAAATGCAGAACATACAGGCAATAAAATATAACTATATCTACCACCTAGTTTATAACACGTTTGAAAAAACTAAAAATGTTTGAACCCTCTTTTAAGGAATAATGTGCTGCAAGTAATAACAATAAAAAGTAGAAATAAAAGATGTTACCTTTAATGGTAGCAAAACGAGCATAAAATGGATTGTGCGCTGTACACCGTAACTCTACGATGTCCTGTGTAAACATATTACGTATGATGTGATAATATTCGTTCAAGGTTTAATCTAACACAACCCAAACTGTATGTAGTGTAGGTTTATATGCTCTAAGTTGGATTTTAACAAAAATGAAACAATGTTAACATGCACTGTGATAACACAATGACAATAATGATCAATTTGGGCAAAACTCCATTGTATATTGTTTGACATACATATGCTCTAGAAACATGTGCCTATGTAAGTGTTAATTTAAAAGTCGGCCCTGATCTCTGGTTTTTTTCGGTAAGGCGCGTGGAGAACATACATGGTGATGATGGGTTGAATCGCGCTGGTCACGTAGGAAATTTGAAATCCTGGCTGAATAGCGGGCAATGAATGGCCGCTACTGCCGCGTTCGCGGGTGTCTATGTCTGCTTTCAACCGATGCCAACTATATAGCTGGTCAGCCTCAACGTAAATTTCTATTGGAATTTGATGGAAAGTAACCTTGTAGCATCGCGTAAAGTTAACCTAAATAGGCCCGCTGCTAATTCATATATTCACACTACCTACAAAAAGCTTTGACGTGGTTATCAGCTGTGGAATACCAGAACCCTCGTAACCATCAACTACCATTCGTGATGTTCTCCTTGTTTCGGAAGAACTTGAAACTTCCTTGCCGCGACATTTATTCTCTTAGGAGGCCGGCCGCTTGGCTTCTTGCAGCTCTGTTGTCAATCAGCATTTAACAAGCAGAAGTTGGAAGCGCCAGCTTTCAAACAAGTGTCAAACCTGAAGTTCGTTGGTAGCAAAACTGCGATTGGGCATGCAGCACAACCGTCCGGATCAATCGATCGCCAGTCAATCATGTGTCGTTCAGGGCCATGCAACTAAAAACTACTATTGTATATGAAATTGCTATTTCTATGTTTTACAGGCTAATGCGCTTTTTCTTACTTTATATTACTCTTGATTGGTCGACGATATCCATAAGATTAACAAAATAAATCATCAATTACATGCATAGTCAATGGTAGCATAAAAGAAAATATTTATGAAAAAGAAGCATGCTTCACCAATGAACGAACAGTACACCAAAACACGTCCTACGATTTCCACGTCATTGGCTTGGAATTGAAGACCCTTCATAATATATAATAATATTTATTGTATCATTTAATGTTTCAGATTGCACACATTTTAACCTTTTGTTCAGGCTTTTTTTTAAGCCGGTCTGTGAAGTGTGAAAATCATCAGTTTGTACCTTCAAGGAAACAAAACTACGTTTGTGCCTATTTCAAAATTTTGAATATAGGTTAGTCTTTATAAGGGCTATCTTCCACTGCTAGACTGTCACAAGCATTTCGGGGTGCTACTTATTTATCCAAATTTTGTAAAGGTTTAAGGCATTCAAGCCAGATGCCCCAAACAGGTGTTTCTTTTCCGATCATAACATACACAAAAATGCAGACATACATATTGTACAAAGATACACAGGCAAATGTACAATTTTTTCTTTGTTTGTACTGCTAAAATTTTCTGTCAATTATTATTTCTAACCCGAGTTAAAATCAGGAATATAATTCAGGAATTTTCTGGTAGAAATGTTTGGTTGCTGGTCAAGTTTCATTAATATATCGACTGAAATGATAGGTGCTAGGACCCTTTATTGACTCAAATCACCCTATCTTTGCAATGCGCATTTCACTTGCTAGGAAGTGGTGGAATCAACCATTCACTACATTTGAAGAACTATAGTACACGTTTATTTCACAGTGCTCGCACTTTCTGCCTTGACGAGAAGGAAGTATAATTTCTTTGCCATTTTATAACGGACGTATATATGTATATATATCGGCACAAAATGACATTGGGGGCAAGGAAGTGCTGGTTTGATGATATCAATTTTTTCATGACATTGCGTTTTTATTATTTATCTATAGTGTAATCCCTTTGAAGGTATACAATTTAGCGCAATGGATCTAGCAAGCAGACAGTAGCTAGCTGGGATGCCGCTTATTTTTCAAATCCTGAAATTGGATATAGGGCTTACAACGGAGATTTGACCTTTTACTGGCACGAACAATGTGTATCTCAGTTGAAGTTGGCTTGCATACGTCTCGATTGTCTGCAACTGTAGACTTCTCATTCATATAGACCTTCTTGCCATCTACTGTGTTAAAAAATGTATACTAATCCACAATAATCAGACGTGGAATACCTTAAGCATAGAAATATACAAAGTATCTTTGTAACTTTTTTATATTTTTATCCCAAAGTATTTCAAACCATGAATATTGTAAGGTACACGACTTAGTGCGCACTAAGTTCTTATATGTGGCCGAAATTTACATTAACGTGATGCTACTGACCGTCTGAATTTAAAGATTGATCGTGCTTGTCATGCGATCCTAGATACGGTCAGATACAAGCCAGAGGTTAACTTGAGTTGCAGACCTAAAATCCTAAGTTTGATTGAATTTTTCTTTTAATCTTGTTTGAATCTATCTCAGCTGGCAACTTTTTTCATTCTGAAACAAACTGTAAAACAGTTGTAGTGGGCTCGTAAAGTAGTGTTCTGAAATTGTCTCGACTTTTGTGCTCGACAAATCGACTTTCAATGCCACAGTTAGCCAAATATACCTCTGTTAACCATAAGGAGTATCTACTGGGTAAGCCAATAAGCTGGTTTCAGAGGTAATTTCAGACAGGGCTAAATAAGTCAGTTTGTGAGAATTTAAACATGCTATTGCTTAGAGCACTGTACAGATAATCTGATTGCACCAAAGGTAATCCAAGTTCCAAGTGCAAGTAATATTTAAAAATTACTTTTTTTTTAGAGATGTTCTTCGTTTAAAAATTTTGAAGGTACAGCTTGCCTGAACATTAGTCGATTCTGGAGAAAAGCAAATGGGAAATGATATTCCAGAAAAGTAGGCTAGCTCACTGTCACCTTGGGAACTGTGCAGTCCCATAATGCGTCTTGATTTGATACGCAATAAAACCTTGTGAGAAAATCCACCAAAATACTTCAAAGAAATTTGATTCCTATTTGCAGTTGCACAGATGAAACTGTTTCTCATGTTTTATTGTGCAAGTGTAATTTTATAAAGTGCATTTGCTTGAATATTGTCTTAAATAAATTCTACTAAAACAACTTAACTATCGCATTTTTTCGAAAAATCGTCAGTTATGTTAGATTATTACAAGCAAATCCGACGTACTTTAGAACTAAATAACGCCTGAATTATTTGGGCTAGAATAATACGTATTAAAGGCGCTCTCCGTTATCTGTTACGCACTTGTCTCAGCGCTCTGATAGTTTCTGGACAGTCATTATCTACTATTGGCGTTCCCATATGAAATTTCTTTATTTACGACTTCTTGAAATAGGTCGATAGTTGTATATGCTTGTTCACCAGTTGCCGTTTTTAAGTCATGTGAAGCCTCGCAATTTCACGACCTCAGATCGGAAGAATAAACAGATTAAAGCCAACCTTAAATATTCCTTTGTATTTGAGGCTTGGCGATAAAGTTTGTTATTGTCATCAACTAACCAGACTGCGTGCTTTCGATTGCTATTCCAACGGTCAATGAGCCTCTTGAAGAACTCTGGATAGCAAGCTGCATTCGGTCTTTTATTATCTTATAGCAGCAGATACACTCTAGTGTCCACTGCAAGTAGTACCATCAAGAATTGGATTTCTCTCTAGGGCGAAGCCATTTTCTCGTCCGGTCCCTTTTCAGTTGGTAGTAAAGACTGAACAATGCTTCGTCTGTGGCAGTTGTATGCTCCAAGCAAATTTTTTGGTTCGATAAGATTCCGCAAATCGCACATAAAATGCACTGTCTGTATTTCCAATTGGCCTGGAATAAATTAACCTTAGACCCATTTTCTACTCAGTTTACGCGTTGCCAGAATCTTAATTATAATCCTGCAACACGTTACATATGAACTGCCATTTTAGCTGATGACAAAGGCCTTAATCCCTCGTTTCGTAAAAGAGCTTCTTGCCTGCGGCAATGCGTTCTCGTCCTTCGTATCCCGACATCTGGTCATTTCCTTACTAATTTTTAACACTCCAATCTTCGTTCTTCAAACATCCACACCATTCCCATACTATGCTTCCGCTTAAGATCTCATTATTTAATATATTCACTAGTGTCCGATGAAATCATTGTGCGGCGCGTTAGTTCTGGAGAAACAGAAATTTCGTCACTGGTTGTTGATTTTCGTGATTAGAAGATGTTTTTCATTATTAACTCAGTTCTTTTGGAGTACACTTGACCACTTTTCACTCACAGCTTTCTAAAGGTATTTAAGCCTGGTATAGGCGCATAGTGTCATTACCGGATTCTCTAGTAACAGATTAATAAAACTAGCTTTCATTGAATGGACTGTTTTTTGCAAACCTAGTGAGCGGCAAGAAACCTAACGAGGAGATAAGGACCAAATAAGCTATAAAAATGCCTTACCTTTACAGGCAAACTTTTACTACTATTATTATATTATTTAAATTTCATGGGTTGGTTTATTAATATGCTACGTAATGTTACGTAAAAAGAGTGCCGTGATTACCAACGCAACAGAGACAGTTACCTTATTATTAAATATTAAAAAAACCATAGCAGCGACATTTTTTTCCTTTGTTCTTTAATCTTTAAAACAATGAAAATCGCCAAAAATATTAGAAATAATAAACCGTAAGTAATTAATATTTGCAGAGTATATACCCTTTATTAGGTTTGAACACTATTGAATTACACATTGACATCCTGTATCTCTCTCTTTCACCGAAGAATGTTACTGGTTTCGGCAACGTCCGTTGCGATTGATATACCAGGTTAAATTAATTAAACTGTAATGAAGAAAGAAAAAATAAAACAAGCTTTGTCTACCTACTCAACGTTTGACTCAGGCAATTGCCTGGCTTGCTAAAGTTACGCACGTTAAAATGTACGTATCGTGTTATATGCTTATCACATGCAGACACAACACACATTACTATAGGGTAATGTACAGGCATGGGCTTATCTATAGCAGTTCTAGCAGATTTCTAGCCAATTATTACGACATGAGGGCAAAAAGTAGCCCCACTCTTGGAGAACTGCATTGATTCGGAGGGAGTGGTAACTGAACCGAACAATGATACACATACTTAATTGACGGATAGACTGATTTATTTTAGGATAGAGTGACTTTGATAAACAAAGTAGCTTTTGATTAAAAAAAAATCTTTCATCCTGTATTCATCTATTGTAAAGAATTTGCTAGATCGTAAAGATTATAACGATATAAATACGATAAACGTTCCACTGAAAATTATTCTTGAACAAAAGTACTTCATATTTTAGTGGTACCATGATCTTATAAAAATGATGCTCCTAATAAGGATTAGATCCAAATATTCTGGACATACTTTTTGTGTGATTGTAGCATGACCCAATATAACGTCTGTACATATCCTGCTGGCCATAGTGCGTGCCACACATGGCAAACTTTATGGTCTTGAAGGCGCGCAGCTGACGTGGCAGCAGGAGACCTAGAGTCCCAAAGATGCAATATAATTTACAATTGACTAATTGTTTGTATGCACAATATATCATCGGTATAGCTGTTACAGATACCTAATTCAACAGGGACTGCTTTATCTACACCAGATTGTGATGGTTGATGAACGTTAGTAAATGAAGTAACTTTATTTTAGCAGGAAACATCGCCACATAACGACTCATTAAATCCTTAGTTGGCAACCCGATTTGTGTATACGTCTACCGAACGTTTAGGAGCTTGCTTTGGCTTCCTTCGAATCTTTCGAATCCTTAGAACCGTCCTTTTTCTTTTCTTCATCCTCCTAGAAAGTGGCAAACAATGAAAATATACAACAAATAGCGTTCAGAAAAAAAACATAGAATATAAACAAATATTATTTGGAAGCGTCAAACTGGCTAAAGCGTTATGGATATAATTCACAGCTATCAGTACAGAATGTAAGTTATTTTTTCCTTCGCTCTCGTATTTTACTACACCTTACACTACACAGACCTTGACTATCATCACTTTGCTTATTATAGCATGGTAATTGGATTTGGTAAGGTTACCACAGTCAATCATGGAGTAATATAAAGTATGACATTAATTACACATAGCATTAAAAAAGTGCTGGGATGTTTGCTAAAATGTTGCTAAAAATGCTAATTCATCATAGCCTACCTACCTTATAATGACGGTATTCGGGCTTGAGTTCCCACAAGTTTCGGTGCGGATTCTTGGCGTTATAATTGCACACTTCTTTGAGCAGCTCCTTTAAGAACGGTGCAGGCTGTTTCGTGATACGTTCCAAATCCTGCAAGCATTAAAATAAAATTTATGTAAAAATAACCAGATTTAAGAGTTTGAATAGATAATCAATCTACAAAAACATGTTAAACGCATCTGTCCAACTGAATAAATACGAGGTCTATTTGGAGTCGCTATATTCCTTTCAGTTATTCTCATAAAAGACCTATACTAATCTTTTATACTTCCCCGTGCATTTACATCATGAGGAGCTACATCTGCTTCATTAACTCAGAAGGTTGTTAAATCTACTAAAGGGCACGTAAATATAATATGTGGGACAGTCACGGTTGCATGCTGTTGTCGTCCTATTTTTCGTATCATGATTTAGTGGTCTTACTTTAATGTTATAGTATTGATGCTTTTCGAATGCAGCAAAGATCATCTCGAGAACTTGATCACGATCTCCACGTGCTTTTTTGCCTTCGGTCTTCTTTCGAGCTTCGTACTCCACCTGCGAACACACAGCGTTTATTAAATCGAGACTTAGCTCTTCAGAAAACGTAATAATAAAATAATTTCGTAAACAATTAATAAGTAAACTGATTTCTTCTAATATAAAATACAGAGAAGGCATTAAACGGTCACTATGAGCCACTCTGTTTGTTGAAAGTATATGACCTACTAGCTTTGAGTGAAAAGATACCTGATAATTGTGACGAGCAACCGGCTTGAAGCTGTTAACCGCACGATCCAGGCCGATTACAGTTCTTTTGGGCTGAGCTGCGTCCAGAATCTTCTGTCGTTTTAAATTCATATAATTGATATCGCTACCAATTGGACGACATTCGCCTGAGCATAACATTATTTTGATGTCATTACATTATCATTATTATCAGTTCGAATTAGATTCTTTTGTACTTACATTAATAGGATATATCACGTGGAATCTTAACGTCAAAATAAGCTCCTGCTCCCATATCTATTGCCATGTTAAAGTAGCGCTTAGACAACAAATATCTGTCTCACCGTTCACTTGTAGCTACATCATGCTTTTAGTCCGAACCTAGGTACAACAACGTTTTAGGTTTAATGAAGATGCCAGGTGTTAATGTTGTTTTTCTAGGATTTCTCATGTCAGATCTGTCAAAATTTTCTCTGCGTAGTGCCCTGACTTTAAGAAAAAGATTGTTTAAGAAAAAAACACTAATGAGAAAGACATTCATGTCGGTGAGTTTTGCTATTATGCAATTTAGTTTACATAACAATATTAGCTTGCCTTACCCTTTTGCACGACAGATCCCTCAACACAGATCTTGCCACTGCCACATTCCACCCCGTCTTCGTTTACTGCCTTCGGCTGCGAGTATACCGCTAGCGTTTGGGACTGGATATTGGAGATAACGAACTTGTGTTCACTCGGAATCTTCTCGTCAGCTGTGACGTTTGAGAGACGGAACGAAATATCAGTTTTGCCGGTAGCCAGCTTCGAAATCGATATTCGGCCGGCCTCGGACATTGGAGTCGCTTTCTCCCATTTTTCGGCTATGTATTTAGGAACCTGGATGTAAAATAAAGGAAAGAGCCTTAGCTACTTGTTCTCCCACAAGTTCATCATATCCCCAAAAGGATAAATGCTATAGAATCAGCGCGCACGATCAGAGGGAGCAAGACGCCCACATTTTAAATCTAGTATGAGTAACCAAGTTAGTGTTTTTAATTTATTTTTTTACCACTATTTTGCATATTTTTGCTGTTTTTTATGTTGACATTTCTTCGACCACGTCTATGTGCCTGTTCAAACTAAATATTATTACTGCGTTTGGAACTGCACCATTTTTTGATGCTTTCGTTTTTCACAATAAAAACGCTTAAAACATATTTTCTATGCAAGAAATAATTTTAAGTAATTTAAGTACACATAAAGTTGCTGCCAACCTTTACTAGCCAAACCCCACGGCTGGCGTTAGAACAGTCGACCTCTTTGTCTCCGTCGTGCGACATTATAAATTGCTATCAACACCTTCCTGAAAGAATATGATGAATAGAAATACGTCGAATATATATATACATGTCTGTTTCGCCCGGCCAATGGTACATGTTTCATGACAGCTGTGATTAAGTAAAGGAACGGCATATATACGGAGTGATATACAACAAATATGGTAAATTTTTGCTGAATTCAATTACAAATACAGTCTAGCTAATTTTGTTGAGCGACTCATAACACAACAATATAAGTTCAATAACCTTAATTTGTTTATATATTAAACTCGTTGATTTTGGTCTAGGGCATGACCATAAATGTATTGCATATAAAAGCGCTTAAGAGTTAGCTAGCGAAGCATAAAACAACATTTGAAGTACTTACTACTGCATTTGTTTTTAGGGCCGTCAAGTATATAACATCGGCGAACGTTCTAGCTACAGTAACCGCCTGTAAGTAAAACCTTTTTGCGCCTTAACGCCAGATTTCGCTAAAATTTAGTATAGCCATATCGCCGGTGTTTTTAGTTCGATAGTTTTGCCAGTCAGTGTGAGATAGGGCTTTTTCTGCGCATAACTACCGCGTTTGACTGCCGGATTCTCACATTAGTTTTGAATTCAGGGAAGGAACAGGCCCCCGATCCAAACATCAGTAACTTCAATCAGCTCACTATATTGGTTTCTCGGATTGGCAGAAAGAGCAGTTCGAATTGCCTCTTGTTTACGTATTTATGTACCGGGCAATCCACTTCATCGCCATCTGTTTATACTGTGAAGCAGACACATGTTTTGGAAAAATGCATTCAGTCGCGAAAGCACAGAGAGTTGAAAAATAAATCTAAGCTGTATTCCTTTTTAACGTAATCGCGTGTCTTGGTGAAAGCCAATTCTCTGGTTTCATTATTAATAAGACTGACAGGAGGTATAGCCTTTTCATCGTCAGAGGGCTACTGGTTGTAGTTTGAAAAAAGTACATAATAATAAAAATTATAAAAAAATACGTAATAATAAAACATAAATAATAAGCATCACAATAATATAACGTCAAAAAGTTTGATCAAGTCTAAAATACCTTATTAGAATTGAAATATTTTGCTTATCTTCTAAAATTAGCGTTACACTATATGTAAATGAGGAAAAGAGAATTACTTCTAAACCGAAGTTTGAAAAAACTGTATATAATTCTCAATGAGAGGTCCCAGTCTTTTTATACAGACGGACTTTTTTACCATTAAACAAAGCCTGCTTCCATGGATTAATCTGGAGATCTACTTTAAGAGTCACGATTAAAATTTGTAATCAAACAAAACAAGCCTTTTTAAATCGCGTTTTTCTCAAATAAGTATTTGTTCTGTAATGCAACGACTTAGTCGCTTACTTAGAAGAACGTGCTGCGTGGGTTTGACGTCAAAAAGATTCAAATCATCGGAATTCATGCTAGATAATAATACGATTATCAAGATTCGGTTATACATTAAGAATTATTCGATCTATTAGTTTTCACTTATGTTTCATGATATTACGGAACTAGTGTGTGTTGTCCATTTGCATGTGAGTCCAGAACTGAGCCCATTTTTTTCGTTTTTTTTTCGGTCTCCAAGTATGTTTTACAGCTTTATAAGATTATCTTTCTGTCCATGGAAAACGTTTTCATATTACAGTGTAAAATTTTGGTGAATTTCATCGTATTGCTTGTACAATGCTGCAGCTACTTATATTCGATTAACTTTCTTAGATTCGATAGAACTTAACCACGATAAGGCAGAAGGTGATGCCAATTGTCAATGAGCTTCACCTTCACTGAGCTTTATATTAAATTCTTGTATAGTCTTCTCTCTTAAAAGTATCTTTGCCTAGATCATGTAGCGTTGCAGTTGGTTGTCGATAATATATCGCTTACTGATAACCTGGTAGTATTGTTGGAGGTTTAGGTCACACCTACGAACATTGCGTTGAATCCTTCTGTGAACGACAATGCCATTTATCAAGTAGAACCTTAATCCGTAAAGCCAGTTAATGGGACAAAACCGATCCTACCGCACAGATATGTACTATAAAGATGTAGGTAGGATCCTTACCGATGCAAGCAAATGAAGCTTTGACAATATCACATATATTATTCTCAACGCTCGAAGGAGGTTTTCAGGATCGAGTCTGTCATGTCCAGTTGCTGCATCAAGCGCTAACCATTACATGAGCGTTAAGCTCCTTTGTGATGTTAGTCTACATCTGTATGTATCCGTAAAGTCGACAGGAGCAGGTAATATAGCTCATTACCCTTTATTTAAATCGAGACAAAATTTTCCACATTGTTATACAGCGTTACGTAATCTGGATGAAATTGTGCTGGAAGAAATGTGACGAAAAGGTAAATTAAGTTTTAAGACAACATGAGTCAAAGACGCACCGTGACAGGAAGCATCCTTTTGTTGGTCAATTACGACCATGGTTCACAGTTAACAAGTGTTTTCTATTATCCTAGCGACGAAGTCTGTCTGTGCACTGCACGCCATATTTGTCTTTTGACCTGCGTGTACCCGTTTACGTGTCAGTGTGTTTAGACTCCGATCCGAGGTTAGTTTTGTGTAGAGGAGGATTTAAGATGATGGCTATCTATGTAGCATGTTTAGTACTTAACTGCAAAAATCCTATGTACACTTTATACAAAAAGTCTTGCATCAAGGCCTTCTGCATGCCGGACAATCATATTAGTACTTATAAAATATTGTGAATGAACGCCTCTGAAATAATTTAGTGACTGCAAGATAACGGACGTATGCTGGGAGAAATATTTAATTCTTAAGGTACATCTCCTGTAGTATAACAAGGAAATTACTCAGTAACGTTTCTATCGGACAATATGTTCAGGTAATACGATGCTGTATGTGTAGGGAATTGATAGGATACATTCGGTCTACGGCATTTTCACTGGTCTATTAACTATTTTTCTGTAATTCTAGTAAAAATCTAATTCTGTCACAGTTGTACTGACTATGGTTCTTATCCATATGACCTGTGGCGTCGTTCGTGCCCATTTTCTTACCATTATATACCAACCTGTAATAAAATCATTTGTAATTGGCAGTCTTTTATGCGTCATGTATCAACCTACCTACGTTCATCAGTTAACAGTTAGGTCGCCGGCACAAGAGCCGGTGTAGAGCTCTGCTGTTCAATCAATGCCATAAGTCAGAGGACTGAATTTATTGCTCTTTTTTCATACAAAACTGGTTGTCTCCGGTTTGCATGATAGGGAAACTGCATTTTTCCCATTATATTTGCAACTCTTGCGCGAAGTCTGTGTTCGTATCTGATACTCAGTGTCCTAGGCGTTCACGAAGTGTCCGCGTGAAAGTCATCAGCTAATTGAGTACCTGAAGCTTACAGACCATGGACAGTATCGTACGTTTGCTGCATGGACCAAAAAGTTGCTTGACTACGATGTTATTTTTGCCCTAGGAAAATTAATTTTTTCAGTTGATTCGCATAGCTAACTGGACTTGTAAAAAAAAAAGCCGGTCCTAGTAAGAGTTAGCACCATATGATTATTTGATCTGCAATTTGTCTTAGGTGGTTTTTTATTGATGAAATCTTACAAGTTTCACTGGTGGTTAACCTAGCTGTTAATAAAACATCCCAAAAGACCTTCTGTCATCCAAACCAGATGAGTATAATCTACAGGGTGCGAGGTTTCACCGAAATAGTGCCACCTACTATTGTGCATGTAAAACACCTAAATAAATAAAAAATATTTAAAAAAAAGCGTCCTGAAGCCATGATTTCCCGCGGAGCACGCGTAATACGGCTGTATCACCCATGCGACGTTATGCTTTTGGACTTTTTCTGTGGGGCTCTTTGCAAAGCAGAATATGTAGGACTTGGTGTCGAACGACCGAAATGTCCACAGGATGGGCCTATTACGTCCTTTGTTTCCGTTGGTCCGCCTTCTACATTTATTCCTCCCAGTGAACAACCGACGTTGGTACGAACACATGTATCTGCTCTAATATCCGGTATGATTTAATTCAGCGTCGGTAGCTCAGATCCGGTAGCGACACGCCAAGGTCACCTTAATAACTGATCATAGAAGCTGACATTTAGCTTATGCCAATACCCGGCAGTCGCCAGTGGAAGAATTCGAAAGATGAGATAGTTACACTATGAGAAATGAAAGATGCGATGCGTTTGGTATACGTTTGATTGAGGCTTATGTAGGCTAAATAGCTTAATCTTACTCGAAACTGATCTTATCTTTGGCAGATGTTTACTATTCTACGCATAAGATGAGAAAATTCTACTCTGATAGGATCCTTGAATATAAACGCTTTGCATGTATATACATCTCGTGCAGACGCAAAAATTGTCGAATTTTACTAAAAGAAAAAAACAATATATATTGCAATAACCGAACAAATCAACGAGAAAATGTCTAACTCCTATTTTTCCGTTGTATTCAGCGCTACTATGATTTCGATTATTATGCTTTGATTCGTCGTCATTTTTGCTATCGCCACCGTAAATAAGCGTCGCAATATTGTTATCGTTGTGGCTCTACGGCGCGCCATATTCCCAGTCCCAACGCGATCAGAACTCCGTGCGCGCGCTGCTCTGATGTTCAACGGTTGGCCGTATAAGCTGCGTCTATGTATCCATTGTTGTACACGCTATATACAAGCAACCCTACACTGCTGTCCTTGGCTCGCAAACCCACGCGACGATCGTCTGGCAGCGTATGCTGCCAATGGAGTTGGTCGAAGTGACTGGAATTGTACGAACGAGCTCCCGCAGCATTAGCGTCCCAGTACGAATAAGCAGCAGACGGACCAACGTGAAGTGGAACGGCACACTGGCTTCATAGCATGAGCATTTTACTCGTAGTAACGTCTGCATTGGTAGCCTCCGTCGACGCAGGAACAGCAGCTGTATGATCAGAGACTCACATGCGCGGCCGCATCTGATTTTTCGTTAGTTTGTCGTCGCCGTTACCTCTGAATCAATTGCAATGAATGACGGATGCTTGCCATAAAACGTTTACGTTTGCATAAGCTGCTACTGTATACTAGTAGGACGCGACGGTGACTCATGGCTAGCTTCGAGAAGAACAAATGTCGCCTGCAGTCTTGAGCGGTCTATCGAATCATGATGACGACACTTTGTGTGTTAGTTACCGCTACCTATCTTACTTTACAAATGAGTGAATATATAGGTTAATTTAAATGCGTTCCTCTATGGAACCCTGTCAGATGTTAGGCTCAGCGTTCTGGCGAGTAGATCCGCTAGATATGCTAAACAAACTTAAAGTCTCCGAAGAAGACAACAGTGAAGACGCTTCGAGCATGGAGTATGAAACGCTTTCTTAATCGATAATAGCAAGTAAATAGATGATCATGAGAACGTTAGAGAACAACGTAATTTGGGCTATGATGCTGAGAAATAGATAGAGCTGCAATAGTGTATATATGTAACGGGGAACGACTTTCTTTAGCTACTTTCGATTGAAGCGTGTGGTACAGTTAACTTTACGTGAGACAACCACCCCTCCGACGGTCCACGCTTATGAAGCAAATTCTGGTTTTCAAAAAAAGTTGGCTTCAGGCCATTTTTTTTTCCAAGAGCTGGTTTCTATAGTCAACTGAAAATGCTGAGATATAGGTCACTTATATATATCCCACTATATCCCCACTGGGTTACTGCAACCCAGATTATGAACCACTCATGCATAGCAATTATGTCTAGTTGCATGTTCGTAGCTTTCTAGTACGCACATGAAAGGTCACACCACAATTACACACCTGATACAGATTGATCCGTAGCCATATGTTAATTGTCCGTTTACGTGCTGAAAGCAGCAGAAAGAGGTAAAAGTTTCCGGTTTAGTAACCGACCGGAAACTTCTACCTCTGTATCAAGTTCTTCACGAATTCTATAAAGATAGGTAATAAGTTTTTAGAATGCATGTTTTCTTTGTTTAGTTTTTGATTTGTGATACCTGAAGACATAGCACGCTATTCATGATGACATTTCTGACCAGTCATACCGCATCAAAATGAAATGAACACAGCTCATCACAATATGATTATCCGTGATTTTTCATTTCGGTGCTACTTCCTTCAGTTTGTTCCTGTCGGACTAAAGGTGCTTAAACAAGAAAAGAAATGTCCATTTCCGCCGCTTGCTCGTTTCGGCTTAAAACAATGACGGTTATTTGCTCCATCGTAAAACGAATAATTCTATAGGTATACATAACCCAGCGGAAGACTCGATATTTTGGGCTGATCTTCGCTAAAAGAGACGAACTGGACAAGTTATGTTTATATTGTGTATTGTAAAATGATCGTATAGACTCAAATGAAGTCGAATTTAGATAAGTCGCTCAGCGGGGCACTAAGGCAAACAGTCAGGGATAAAGGCCATATATAT